GTTATGACTATTCAGAGAACGGGTTTTTATTTTTTAAAGCAAAAACCGTACTTCGGATTGAAAAAAAAAGAAGAAATGTCTGACAAAATAGACATCTGGAATTTATTTTTGAAAATTTTATCAGCCCGTATCTCAAAAGTTAAGACGTTTAGGACGTTGTTCATATGAAGTTTTCTTCTTAAAATGGACCCAAAAATCGCCCCCTTAATTATTAAAATTCAATTAGAAAACACCCTGTATTTGTCGAAACTATAAGCAAGAGCTACGAAATGTTTTGCTTGTGGTAAGTAAATTTAAATATTTTGTATTATAAAAAAATATTAAACTTAAATGATCTAAACAAGAATTAGACAAGTTCTTTTAATTATGCTCTGGGATGTCCTAAGTCATTTATTTGTGTTATATAATATTTACTACAATTTGTTTAGTACGCATGACATAGGTAACCAAAATTGTAATTTTGTGTATTTTATTATTTATGCAATTTAAGGAACAGACAAGTTTTAGACCTATTTGAAATATAAAATGCGCATTTCACTGCAATATGTACTTATTATAAATATTTTTCTAAATAGTTGTTTTGGATAGTAGATATTTTTTTATATACCCTGATATTTGATAGGGTGATTTCTGAAATATTTTGTGGTAAAAGGTGTAATATTAAATGCTCCGTATTCGAAATAGTGGGAGTTAAGATTTTATATATATTTTTTACTTTTTCAGATTTTTGAACCAAAATTGATACGTGAGGGTGAAATTTTTTATTTTTTTAATTTAGCTAGGAACACTGCCTACAGGTCATATCTCAATTTCAAAGGCTGTATTAAACTTTTGGTGGAAAAAGGCTTTCCTCACTTATTTTACGTGACAAAAATCCTCGCTAAGAACAACCCTTTTCTAAATATTTTCGTTTGAAGTATGTATTTTTATAAAAGTGAAACAATTTTGTATTTTTTTTTATTTTTAAATAATATTAAACAGACGAGCATTAAATAAAACGGTATGAAAAACCAGATCAAAATCACAATAATACCCTGCAAGAAGTTCCTTCTATTTGAAATATACGCGAAACGTCATGTGGTCACTCTTATGTGCTGCCAAACAAACATTTTTCGTTGGATAAACTGTTGAACAAGTTGCAGTTGGGTTTTAATTGGCAGAAAAAAAAACTGAACTATGTTATTGAATCTCCACTGTCGTTTATGGGTAAGAGAAGATAGAATTCTTTTACAAATCCCGAAACCAGCAAATATAATTATGATTATGGAATTCGATCAATAACCAACGAGGTGGAAATAAGGCAAACCGTTGGTGTTGCAAATATTTTGTAATAATTCTTATTAATGCGGTTGTTGTACTATACGATAAATCTGATGTTGCTGGCGCAGCGTTTTTAACTTGTATGTAGAGGAACAAATCACGACTAGGGAGTTCAATTATTGAATTTTGTTTCCCCGTAGATTTTCTAAACTCCTTTTCAAAATTAATTATCTTGCAAATTATTGTTACATTACTTGAGCTTTATTGAGATTTTATTAATGAATTACGTTGAGTTTCCTTTTGAAATTTTACTGTTCTGAATATTTTATCAACGAACTCAAAATAAGTCGAAGTTTAAATTTGTTTTTGATATTATTATCGAGGATTTTAGATTATGCAATTTTTTTAATTTTTCTTTAATTTTTATCCTGATTGTTGTTAAATTTAAAATTTTGAAGAACGTTGTCATATTTGGTTGTTGAATATAAAAACGTATTTTTATTTGTATTAAGAATCCTTGTTTTTTTGGTTAAAGAAAAAGTAGCAAGTATTTTTAAAAAGACACTTGAATAATTTCTTTTTTTTTATTTTTCGGTTCTACTGAAGGGACTAACCATTTTTTTAAAATTGGAGAAGAAATGATAATATGCACAATATACTCCAATTAATCAATTTAATTTTGATTTAAAAATTGAAATATATAAAATATATCTAATAGAAAATTCGGTAACCATTTACTGTAAAGACAGAATATAGCTTTAATAAAATTAAAAAAAAACTTAGTTCTTTACTTTTTTTATTCGTCATTATTTTTAATTCACATTAAATAAACGATCACTCTATAAAACGGAATGAAAACTATTTATAAAAATAAAACTTTTACACTTACTTTTTTCGTATAATTTTTGTTATTGTCATTTTGTCAATCTTGTTTAATCCATTTAATTTAAATTTAAAAAACTAAATTATACCCAACAAAGTCTTATATTACATTAGATGCATATTTAGTAGTACATTCGTTGAGTTTGATAAATTATTTAACTGTTAATTATTACGTGTATTTGAGTGGCTATTCAGCGTGGACATTTAGATTTAAAGAAACTTATATATCACATATATAACATATATCACATATATAACATATGTCACATAACATTCATATATTAAAAGTCAACTAACATTAATGATAATATTCAGAATAAAGCTTTAAAAAAATTAATTACACATAGTGAAATTTCGTAAAACTTGACTTCCCTAGAAAAAAATTCGGTTAATTTTAATTTTTCTTATCTGTACAGGTATCACATTACGCAAATTTTGGACCTAAATAACTAATTGTCTCCTGATTTATCTCTATAACATGAGCTATAGTTTGGTATCTATGGAAACGTATTTTTTAAGAATATGTTTTCTTGTTTTGGACTACTGGTATTTCAACTATTTTGAATGGGATTGTTTTCAAAAAATGCGTTGGGTTCTGCGCCTTCCACTTTAGACCTCAGCTCCGGTTTTTCTATTCTAACTAGCGAGATCTATAATAACATAATATAGTAAACAATAGAGTGATTTCTTAAGTATTTTTAAGGTAAAAAAAAACAAAAACCTGTGATATGATTTAAATTTAATTATTTTTTCTTAATTTTAAACGCTCATGACATTTTATTGACCTTGGTATTACAGTTTTGATGAAAAAAAAATTCCTCGATTATTTTTACCTTATTACAAGTCACTAAGAACGACCACTTCCGAAATGTTTTGCTTCGAATTGATCCATTTAAACGTGGAACAATGTTTTTTTCTTTTAAATTATTTTTAATTCACATTAAATAGACGAACACGAAATAAAACGGGCTGAAAACCCAGTCCAAAATCGTAATAAACCAAATATAAAAATAAATCTTTTACACTTACGTTTTTTGTATATATTTTTTTCGGATTTTACTGAGGGACTTGGAGAAGAGGAAATGTTCTCGTAATAATAATATGTCAATCGATTTAATTTAAATTTTAAAATGTAAATTATAACCAACAAAGTCATACATTACATTAGATACATATTTAGTAAAAAATTCGATGATAACTGTTGATTTAATTGAAGTAGTATTTCCGAGTATTACAAGTATTCTAGTACCTAAATGTCATAATATTCATATATTCCAATTTAACTACCATTGAGGACGTAAACTTAGTAACCAATTAATGTAAATATATAGCTTTAAAGAAAATTAATTATGCAGAGCGAATTTTCGTAAAACTTAGTTCTTGGCTTCTCTAGGAAAAGTTTTGGTTAATTCAAATTTTTCTTATCTGTACAGGTATGCAAATTTTGGGCCTAAATAGCTGACTGTCTTCTGATTTATAACTATATAACATGAGCTCTAGTTTAACTATTAACTATGTGCGCAGTTAATTTTTTTTCTATTTTTGAACAAAAATTAATTTATTTAATTTTATTTTTATTTATTAACTTATTTTTTCTTAATTTATCTCTAACTAGGGGGCACATATTTTTTCTCAATTTCAAAGGCTCATGACATTTTGTTCGACCTTGTTATTACACTGTCGATGAAAAAGAATTCCTCGATTATTTTTGCCTTATTACAAGTCACTAGGAACAACCATTTTCGAAATATTTTTGCTTTGAAATGATCCTTTAAAAAAAATAACTTTTTTTATTCGACATTATTTTTAATTCACATTAAATAAACGAACGCTGTATAACACGGACTGAAAAACCATACCAAAATCACAATAAACCAAATATATAAAAATAAAACTTTTACACTTACGTTTTTGGTATAATTTAAAATTTTAAAAATAGAATTCTCGTAATAATAATATGGACAATATACTCCAATTAATCAATTTAATTTTGATTTAAAAATATACATATATAAAATACATCTAGTAGAAAATTCGGTATTTTTAATAATTTATTTAACTGTTGATTTAATTATTGAACTGAGGTGGCTTTTACTTGATGAACATCCATTTATTAAAATAAATAAGAACTAAAAGTTCAGATTTTCACGAAATTATATATTATGACATGACAGTTGTTTCGACAACACCGTGTTTTTGATAAAGACACGGTCTTGTCGAAACAATTGTCATGTCATAATATATAATTTCGTCGTTAAAATCTGGACTTTTAGTTCTTATTTATGTTGATTTAATTGTAGTAGTATTTCCAAGTATTACAAGTATTTTACTGACTAGTCAGATAAAAAAACTGTTATATATCATAATAATCGTGTATTCCAAGTAAACTAACATTAAGTACGACAACTAAGTAACCATTTACTGTGAATATACATATCCACAATATAGCATTAAAAAAATTAATTACACAAATTGAAATTTCCTAAAATTTAGTTCTCAACCTCTCTATTTAAATTTTGGACGTAAATAACTGTTTTCTAATTTATAACTCTATAATATGAGCTCTAGTTTGATAACTTTGGAAACGTATTTTAACAAAGTATGTTTAGTTCTTTTGATCTACTGATATTTCACGTCTTTTGCATGGGATTGTTTTTAAACTTAAAAAAAAGCGCTGGGTTTTGTTCTTTCCTTTTAATCGGTCCATTTGGAATATAATCGTTAGAAAAAAGAAATTCTCGGAGTGTTGGGGGTTTTGATAAAATCCGGCGACACAAGCGAGCCGTAAAACAATGGGGAGTTAGCCAGATTTTGTAAACGAGTTGAAATGTGTGTTAACCCCACGCTGGATCTTCCAGGTGACTACGTGAAGACGTAAAAAGCAAAGTCGCCCGTCATTGGATAAGCAGCACACGTCATCGAGGTTGCTCAGCCAATGAATGTACGCGCTCTGGTGGCGGGCAACGCAGATTGTGGCAACTCGGCCCGACCTGATGAGAGTTGGAGACTATGTAGCGTGGTGCACGTCTCTATCCTCAGTTGGATATTCAGCCGTGTGCTCTCTGAAATTACAGCAGTTTTCAGTCATCTTTCAGGCGAAAGCCGGTGTATCGGTTCGTCGTCGCTCGTCCGGCGACGTTTCAGTGCCAGTGTTTTCCTTTTTTTTATTCGTTCATGCGTGTAATGCGATTTAAGAAAAAAATTGTCAGAGGTGAGTCGTGGGTCGTCTTTATTTTTTCAAATCGGCGATAGGGATCTAACCCCGACCGGGTCCCCTTATAACTTACGGAATTTATGAAAATGTATTCTTTTCATTTCGTCGACAATAACAGTTCGTTTTCTATTTCTTTTTCATATTCGTCACACGTGGATACTGCTGATAAATGTGCCTTGGACAACAGTTCCATTTCCATCACTTACACCTCTCATTTTTCGCGTTACATTAAAATAATACTAAAAGAAAAGAAAAGGAACGGTTTTATTGTCTATTTATCTGCGTGTAGTGAATGAACTTCTCACCCGCACGTGTGTCTTAAGCCTATTTTTAAATTAACCGAAATTCGGCGTACCTTGGGTTTTAATCGGGTGTATTTTATATAACCGCGGTTAAACTGGGAAAGAGGAATTACTATTTTTAAATTAAAAACAAACATAAAGTTTATTTTCCGCTTTTAATGTTTTGTAACTATATTTAGTGACAATGGTTATCGACTTATTAAAAATAGTAGTCCCGTTTCTATTTTTAATGCGACTTAATAATTTATTTCTGTAATTGTTTTGGGCCGTAGGGAGATCTGATAACTGGTAACCGGAGAGAGTTCGGCGCGAACTTTGCCGTTTCTTGGGGGCGTCTTTAATCGATACCGCCCCATTTGGATATAGAGTTGTTCCATCCGTATTAGAGTATTCCATGTGATTAACTTAACACGATCAATTTTCCAGCTATAATCGAGCGGAACGAAATGAATTTTTCACGGGCCGACTTTTACCAGTTTTCCGACGTAGAGTTAATTAAAAAATAGTAACTGTTTTTTTTTGCAATTTTTGCGTGTATGGAATTCGATCGGAAGCGTATCGTGAAAACGCATTTGTTTTAAATTTCTTTGTTCGATAAACTCGTATTTGTGCGTTTGTAAATTTAGGCAAACTTTTTTTTCAAATCCATTGGGAACTGCCTTTTCATTTTTAAAGCAAACCCAATTATTTTCTGTTGAATTATAGGAACGTTTTTTTTTTTGAAGGCTTTTTTTTTTACACTGACAATAGCTAATCACCTTCGTTTGCTTTGGTTTTTTGGAACATAAAAGCCTATAAAATTTGAGTAAATTGTTTTTTTAACGTGGGAGATGACCAAATTAATAATAATAATAATTTTTATTGTAATTCGGCTCGTAAATATGGAATTTGAAATTTCGCTGAACCCCATCATTTTTTATGCTCTGGTTTTCTTTCTGGCGTGGACTACGGCGAAAATGATTTTAAAAAATTACCATGCAAATGCTTACAACTCCGCAAATGTCCCTGTCAGATTGAAATAATTTTGATTTTGTAATTTTTTATTTTTCAAATTTCTCTGAACTTTGAATTTTTGAAATACACACTTTTTCCAATGCATTTTTCGATGTAGAGTTAATTAAAATATACAAACTTTTTTTTTTTCAATTTTTTGTGTACACAAAATATGCTTTAGGGAAACATTTTTTTCAAATTTATTCGGAGTTGCCTGTGGTCCTTTTCGAATATAAGAGCTTGTGAAGTATGAATTGCATTTTTTTAATAATTGGAATTTTAGAAAAATTTTTTTTGTTATTTTGAAAAAGAATCGTTAACTTAATTACTATCTCAATTATCCATTTGGCGATTTGCTTTAAATTATTTTTGACCAAAAATATTTACAATGCTGACAGCTTACGTTGTTTCTTGATAATTTTTTGCATCTTAGTTTGAAACTTGAAAAATTTTGTTATTAACCCTTAACCCCATCATTATGAAACTGCTGGTAATTAATATCTTTCATTTCAAATTAAAAAAATATATAGGAAGGAAATTTTTTATAGCAATAAATGATCTATTATAAGAAAGAAATGAAAATTACATGAAATTTTTAAAAAATATATTCTTTACAAACAGTTTCGCCTTTGGTTAGTGAAAGGTCTGGGATAGCTCATAGTTTTCAATAGGAAATTCACACACCTCATTCTTTTTATTTTATCTTAAACTAGCTTTCTAATCTAAGGTCTATTTGAAAAATAATAAATACTAAAATTTAAGCAAATTGAGAGACGTGTTACGAAATTTACGATATAGATTATTTAAATATTTAATGTTACTAACACTTCACCCAATATATATATATATATATATATATATATATATATATATATATATATATATATATATATATATATATATATATATATATATATATATATATATATATATATATATATATATATATATATATATATCCATGTCATATTTGAAGCATCTTTCAAATTCAAATTCTTGAGGAGTGAGCAGGCCTTTAAAGTTTAAATTTAAATTGCGAAAACTGATTTTTACAAAAGTTTTATTAACTAGGTTTTACTATAAAGTAATTGTAGCGAGTCAAGAAAAAAGTGCAATAAATGGATGAGTACATTGAAATACAAAGATAAAGTATAAAAAAAACAAATAATAATAATAATACAAACAACAACAAGTCGTGATGAAGACTATTGTCTATCGATATTCTTAATTTTAGTTGTGGGTTCAGTAGATTGTTGCCAAATCTACTAAAATAATTATAATTTTAATGATTTTTGCGAATATCTGACGATCTGTCAGCTTGTTTGTCTATTCTTTAAGCACCTCGATATCTCCTCGTGTCGTCTTAATATCTCCTTCAACTTTCGACAAAACAGATCCGTATTATGCCCGATTTGCTCTTCGAGTGTTGTAGTGTTTTTGAATTGTTGGGGTAGTCCAAAAAGATTGAAGTTTATAGAAATAGATGTGACTAAATGCTTATTCGATCGGCACACAAACACAAATCGTTTCGCCTTACGTGCATAATTACGATCGCATCTTAGAACGGTAAAAGAGGGTGGTCTGGGGTGGGTTAGCAACACACCACCGCCTTAGCGCACTTCCGATATACAGGTAGAGCCTGTAACAGCGCCCTTGCGAGCGTAGGAAGGCACGCGTCCGGCCTTGTAAGTTTGCCCTCCACTATCGATCGTCGGTCTCCACATTATATGACTAAATCAGGTCACTGTGTTTACGGGTGGCCCATTTTTTTTCTAATTTTCTCATCTGTTACGTCACGGTGCCGATTTTCGATTGACTTGTGCTCTTCAAATGTACCGTAGTGGCCACGGAGGGCCGTCGCTGCTGTCCGATAACCTAATTAATCAGTATCGAATAAATATGCAAATAATCTTAGCCAGTCGGATGTATGCGTTAGCGTGGCCGCGCGACGTTGCCAATTCGTCAGTAAGGATTAAAAAATCTCAAACGTAACGATTTTATTTCATTCTCAAGTTCTTTGAGTATAATTTGCTTTAATTAGAGCTAAATGAAGCAGTAATTGTCGCGGAATAATATTAGCTCTTCTTCGTGGTCACACATCTTCCTTGAAACTGGCGCATCACTCTTGCCATTTCCCGTTTGTATGAAACGGGAAATCACATGTTGAGGAACATATTTGATGTGTGCTCTCACTCACTCAGAGCAACCCGAAACACTCTAGGGCTGCTGAAGTATATTACCTGAAAATTTGAAAGTTTTGTATTTTTTTCCGTACAAAAATATTATATGTATTGTAAATCTAATTTGGCGTTTATTGGAAGTTCCTCCATCTTGCCATTTTAGTAGTAGTGACAATGGATTTAAGCAGTTTTGTGCTATTTGGACTTTTTTCAAGCAAAATGAAATTCATTTAATAATAATAATAATAATAATAGTGTGTTCATGTCAAGTTATATAAAGCTATACAAAGTCAACTAAACTCATAACAAAGAAATAATACATATTACAACATTTCATATTCGCCTTAAATACAATAATTGAAGGTTTATCTTATGTAGAGAACGGTATAGAAGAATAACATAATGCAAAGCAAAAAAAAATGAAGAAAGTAAGGAGACAGGGCTAAAGAAAATGAGAAAAAAAGATGTTTCTTTATTTAAGCAAAATTTTTCGTTAATTAGTGAACCATTATTAAAATGCTGTGTTCATTATTAACTTATCAAAAATTTGCATTTCATGTTTCTTTAGATTGGGTAAAATCATTTATTTTATATTTATTATAAACGCAATCTAATAAGACAAGCACTTTTTGAAAAATTCTTTTTTATGAACAAAAGTTGTTTTTAAAATAGAGTTGGTCAATATCAGTTTTAATTTTTTCCTCTAAACACATATTTTGAATAACAGAAACGCAATTACAGTAGCAACCAGTAATGCAGAAAAAGTACAGTTTTCAGAGCGCTTTCTCAAATGAGATTTTAATTTTGTTTTGTGATCTTCACACGACGAAGCTTAAATTCGAGGTTTATTTTCTTTTTTTTTTTGAAAATCCTGCATTTTTTAAATATTTCATACCGTGGAATTTTTTAAAAATATTTTTTAAATAGCATATGCAGTTGGCCACCTTACTGCACACTAAAGTTACCGTAAGTGTAGAGTATTACCATTCAATATCCAACTGGTTTTAAGAGAGGTAATAATAATAATAATAATAAAATTATTTAGCACTAGACTATAATAAAATTTGACCTTTTTGAGATAGCCTGGTTAAACTTTAACATTTAAACATTAAACTTGTTCTTCTAATGTATGTAAATCACATATTAGTATATTAGTATATCACAGTTCGAAATACTTTGCTATTATACACTAATATCTTGGTCCACTGTGGTAAACAAGGCGATACACAGTTAAAAAACGCTATTTTCTTACCAATCTTTTTGCATACATATTCAGCACGATTACTAAAACAATTTTATTACCCTGTATATCCACTGAATACCCGAAGTCATAGAATTTTTGACAGTTAACTTTAGAACCGATAATCATGCATTTGGTTTTGGAGCTATTTAATTTCAGTTTGTTTTGCACAGCCATTCATAGAAATACTGCATTTCCATATTCAGTTTGATAGCTATTTCTCTGCTATCGTTTCTAGAAACCGAAATAAGCGTGTCATTAGCAGATAAGTTAACAAATGAGTTTTTTTAAACCTGATACATATCATTTATATAAATAATAAACAAAAGCGGGCCCAACACGCTTCCCTGCGATACACCCTATCTGCTGCCCCTTTGACTAGAAATTTTAGTCTGGTGAGATCTATCAGATAAAAAATTCGTTATCCATTCTAGTGCAGAGTCTTTAATGGATAAAGCTAATTTTGTAATAAGAATGTCCCTGTCAATAGTCTCAAATGCACCTTCTGGAGAGGCCAGATTATGTGGCCGACATTAAAATTTTACAGTAATTAATTACAAATAATTAAAACAAAATTAATTTGAAAATAAAAAGCGTGCTCATTTAAAAGAGATTCGGGAAGAAGTTACAGGATGATGGTTTTTACAAAGGGTACCTAAACCGCTAAACCCTTTTTTTTACTCCAAGGCTTTTTTTTTAATTAAAAACGTTTTAACGTATTTCAATGAAAAGTTTGCGGTTTATTTAAACAATTATCAGACATCTACCGGATCGATTAGATTGGATTCGGAATTTGCAGTGGCGCACTGAGCGCAATAATTAATAAGCATTTTTATTTTTCTTTACGAAGACTTACCGGGCGTCGTGATTTTCAAAACCGAACGAAAGAGGCATTAAAAAGTCATTAAAAAAATGTTGTCTTTTAATGGTCTGATGATTTGTTCTGCAAAAAAGATCCCCGCCCCTGTAAATTCTGAATTACATTCATTTTATCCAATAGATATCAAGTTACTGTTAAACTGTAAAAGTTTCGTTGAAATTGGCTAATATTTTTTAAAGCTATTAAGTAATAAAGAACTGTTTTCCATATTATGCGGGAATGAATATTCCCTGGGCTGTTAAAATGATAAAATACTGAAAAACTCACGTGGACGAGACATATCGATGCGAAATGTCGTATCCAGATCGTCAAAGTTGGAATTAGAGCGTCTAAATGGGGGGGAAGACTATCGATTTCTATTTTGATTTCTCCGAAATTTTGACCTGCCTTGTCGTTAAACGATTGTTTCAGATTATTTTCTTCAACAGTAACAATTTGAATAAATAAAATTTTCTTTTTTTGTTTCAGATTAGGTAGAAGAGCTGCAAAGTGAACTTACAACGTTTGGAAGCTCGGACTGAGCTGCTCGGTACTACTTCTATTCGCAACGGGTTTATTCTTTAACTTCTTCAAAATTGCTGCCATGGGTCGCAAAAAAATTCAAATATCTAGAATTACCGATGAGCGAAACAGACAGGTAAGGTGTCCCTCACCTAAATATAGTTAATTTAACTCAAAACGAAATATTTTCTACTCACAAGTAATTATCAGTTTATTTGCAGCAAATCACTTCCACTTTTTAATGGAGCACCCTGTATATTATTAATTTATTATAAGTTGTACCGACAATCAGACGCAGCATCTTCTCATTTTATGTTAAAGCTTAAAACGGAAGCCCAGTAAATCTCATTTAAATTTTCATTCGGGTGAACTGTCAAACAATCATGAACTTCCGTTACCAGAATTATTATTTAAGAATGCAAATACGTACTTATTAGCACCGAAAAAATCCTGTTATTTTTAAATTAAGCAAACTTACACTGTTTGGATACTTACAGATAAAGTATGCATGCGAACGAATACTTTTCCAGGATTACGAGTTATTATTCATTCATGTGCGAATTTTAATTCAAGGATAATATTACTCGAAGTTTCTGTTGATTGTTTCAAGTCTTGTACTGATACAATGTGAGGGTTAATATAATGGATAAAATTTAATATAGAAAACATAAAAATTTTAATTATCAGACATGGCTCTAGTATGGTAAAAAGTGTACGCTAAGATTGAAGCATTTAAGCACTTTCGGGCTTATCAAACTTGTTATCATTTAGGATATAAAAACCGCTTAGTCTCAATCAAGTCATATTTCAAAGAACTGAAATTACCTCGTATTGAATTGCGAACATATGTCGCACTTATAAAACCATAGAATACCTATGTAAAAAAAATTATACAAAAAACTCCAATTAGTTTTAGTAATTAAAAATTACAAAAAAAACTGACTTGATTTTTTTTTTCAAAGAAACTTCCACACGCTACTGTAAGACTTTTTACAAAACTTCTGGATTCCTCATGCGTCGGTTTTTGCTGAGTCGAACTTGCTAGCAAGGCAGGAGGAATCCAAAAGTTTTGTAAAACGTATTGAATTTTTTTTTACAAAGGCCACACAATTGTTATTCGTGTACCCCCCGAACAGTCTATTAGCTATTAGATAATTTAGGGGTCTTAAATACCATAACTTATACCATAAAACTTAAAAACTGTCGATAGAAATTCTCGTTGTTTTTGGATCAGCATAGGCAAGGCTCTATAAGTCTTAGTAGACAGCGAATAGAATCACTTTATTGGCTTAAATAAAAACGTCTTTTTTTAAAATGTATGTTCTTAATTTTGCTTTATAACCTTTTCTTTTTCCAAAAATCCATTAGTATTAGTATCGGTTTCGTTCAGAACATTAACCCGTTAGCCTAGAGGGTAGAAATGACAAAGAAATAGAAAATATTTTCTTATTTAATATAACCCTAAGTCTTAATAACATTAAAAGAATGTGTTATATAAAAATTTACGTCAATATCTACTTTACGTTTTCGATATTTTTGCCTATTTCAGTGAGAGGTCTTTCTCAGCAGCTGTCTATTTGTTTTGCATATTGCAAATTTCCACGAAATAGATTTAGATTCAGTTGGGAGTGCTTTTAGACGACAGGCAACAGAATAGAAAATGTAGTTTGTAGATAAACAATACAATTGTTATTGTTTAAAAAAATATAAATTTGATTTTCTTCGCATATGCAACTTAATAATAGTTTGCAATTGGTTATCATTATTTCAAATGACTATGATGATAATTATTATGTTAAGTTAAAAGTCGTTTTGTCTGGTTTTTCCGCCTAGTAAAATGATTGATCGAATTTGATATTGAATTTTATTTATTTTTCAGGTGACTTTCAATAAACGGAAATTCGGCGTGATGAAGAAAGCGTATGAACTGTCCGTATTGTGCGATTGCGAAATAGCGCTCATAATATTCAGCAGCAGTAACAAATTGTACCAATACGCCAGTACGGATATGGATAAGGTGCTTCTTAAATATACGGAATATAACGAACCCCACGAATCACTGACCAACAAAAATATTATCGAGGTACATCAAATCCAGCAGCAACTTGCCAATAATACTTGGCTCATGCAAACAACACGCGATAACTTTGGTTCATTTCGTCTTTTTTTTTTTTTTAATTATTATTTAAAACTAACAAAAAAATCGCGACAGTTATCGGACAGAACGTGCATTTGCCTGTTATTAACACGAGTTGTTGCTTCAGTATTGAAATTCTAATTTTTTATTTGCTAATGCAATTATAATATTTATCGCGAAGGATTTTACTAGAATTTTCCATTGTACCGGAGATTGTTCTTTTTTTTTTTGCCAAGTAGATACGATGATTTTCTCTGATATAATAGAAATTACGCGTTGTGCTTTACTCCTTGAGCTGGTCCACTGACACTTGCAGGCACTTAATAAGAAGGAGCATAAAAACGGAGTGATGAGCCCGGAAAGTCCGGAACCGGAAACGGAATACCAGCTCACACCGCGCACAGAGGCGAAGTACAGTAAAATCGACGAAGATTTCCAAATGATGCTCCAAAGGAACCAATCCTCCATCAACGGACAGCGGGTGAGTTGTTAAAACTTCAAAAACTGTAAACAGGTAACCAAAAATTGTAGAACATTTTCAGAAGCCCAGTGCAAAACTATTGCATTGGAAAAAGCATTTCCGAGTCCTTTTTCGTCCATAAAAATATAAAAACGCGTGTTGGTTGCCTCAGAGTCAATGGAAATATTAAATTAGACCTAATTGATCCAGGTTTTCTACAGTCGGAAACCTCTTCAAAAACGCATGGATAAAATGAACTTCCAAATACCACAATACCTATCCAAATATTATGTTGTGTTTGGCAGATATGGAGCTCTGAAAATAGTTCACAATTTGTTCACCTGCTTCGAGGATGCAGCAGTTTAGTGATAACCAATGATATTATAAGACAGTAAAATATATAGAAATTATCAGGCAACATAAATAAACAGTCTGAATAGTCATCTATTTGCATTCTCACTCTTTTGGCGATAGAAATTTTTGTTTTGGTCGCTGTTTTTGAGATTATGCTCAAATTTCCTATATGTGATAACTGAGACTGATATGCTAGCACCAACACAGATGAAATGGGATAGGATAGGAATAGCGATTTTACACACGAATTTTAGAAGTAACTGTTTATGAAATGAATTGTAAAAGGTGCAAATACAGATGTCAAAAATTTCGATATAAGTATTAGCCTCAGTTAGAACGGATATTATAATATAAGTTCTAAATTAGAACTAACAAATAAAGAAGAATGAAATTATGTTAAGCTTTGGAAGTCTGTTATGGATTTTCTCCGGTAAGTGTTTTCAAAAATAATTGAAAAGCTGATTAAAAAAAGTGACTTGGTGAATTAAGTGACAAAAGAAAATTGTAGTTGTCGTGTCAATGGATCTATCTAAAGCACAGACACTGTTAGCTTCGATATTCTTTTGTTGAAGTTACAGTATGGACTTTAAGAGAAGATTCTATAGTATTTTAGAATCTTAAAGAGGCGTTAGAATAGGAAATACATTGGAAAACAATTATGGAGTACGACAAGGTTATGTCCTTAGATTACTACTATACGTGCTTTAGTATACACAGGCGAATATGAGATGGAATTAGAAAAACTAATAAATAGGGATTTTAATACATGCCTCACGTCTCGGTACTCCAACAAATCAAGAAGAAATATTGCGTATTAGAGCTGGCAATTGAACATTTTGAATAGAATTATTCGTAATTGTAGAAATTATCTCTCTTATAGAAAAAAGAAATTGGTATATAACGCCGTTTTTTGACATTGTAATCCCAAATCCCTAAATAAATTAAATTCATTAGCATTTGAACCAAGTAAATTTATATATAAATTAATTAATAACTTTTATTGTTAAGTTATTGGATATGAAACTGTAATGGTGATTTCTACATTTTCTAAAATTGAATGAACGATATGAGTATGTTCTTTTTTACACCATAGATTTGTCTGGTGCCATCTTGATACCATTTTTAAATTTCTGTTACCAATGTGACAATTCACCAAAAACCGTTTTTAAATGACGGCTCATGCCAAATGACTTTCACCATTGCATTGGTGAGGTGAGAAAATAGAACCTTAAACTTCGGGCAATGTACGCAAAACAAGGCTAGGGTATGTATGACAAAGAGAGAAGCTGAATATAAACGTTAAATTTGTATATTACGCAGCTGCCGTTATTGAACTGCCTATAATATCTGAATAGAAGGAATAGAATAGATGGATCTTTATTTTTAGTGTCACACAGTGCCTATACCGGGTGACAACGAAACTGCTGTTCATGGCGGCGTTTTAAATTTGCAATTTGGTATGATGATGGGGTTGAATATTGTAGTATAAAAACAATTGAATTGTTTTTCTGATTTCACCGGAAATAACCTTAACTTTGTGTTTTTAAACGAAGCGCCTTGTATATTTTTAATTTTGTGGACTAGTCAATTCTAAACAACTTTTGCGTAACATGTTGTATCAATACTTTTTGAAATAAATCAATTCGAAAATATGCCTATGCCACAACTCTAAGATTTTTATATTTTATGACAAAGCGAAATAGGCCAGAACAAAAAATATCACGGTTTATTAAAAAAAACTATTGATTTTAGAGACGAAGTATGGTGGACAAAAGTTTTTTAGAATTGTTTAACGAGTTCGAAAAATTACGAACATACAGAACGTGTCATTTAAAATAATAACCGACAACATTCAATTGTTTTTATGCTACAAATGTTCTTAATATTTAACCCTATCAACTCGCCATATTTTTATCTTAAGCGAATTTAAAATGCCGCTGTATAATAACACAGCAAATTGAAAAAAAAAACATTTTGGCATTGTTTTTTTTATCTCTATCATGATATTCACAAAAGTAAACGGAATATTAACACAGACCAGAAAACTAATAATATAAATCAAAAACCGAATTCTAGAGACATCCAGCGAATAACCAACCCTAATTTTGAAACCGCTAAATTAAGTGACAGATAACAGCTGTTTTAAAAGTGTTCATGGTGTGACAAAACAACGCGTTATTTTAAGTGCTATCGCCTAAAGAGTGACCCCTTGCTGTCAGTTTTTACCCATTTGGATATAATGCGATTGGCGGAAGTACAAGGTTTCATTTTGATGACGTTATTTCGTATGGGTTCGTAGGTCAGCATGAGTTCGTCGAATTACGCCCAGCCGGTATCGGTGCCAGTAAACATCAGTTACAGCGATTCCGGTTTGCTTCAATCTAGTCCCCAGATGGCTCATACCAGCATCAGCCCGAGGCCATCATCGTCAGAAACCGATTCGGTATATCCTAGCGGTGGTATGCTCGAAATGAGCAACGGTTATCCAAATTCAGCATCGCCCATTGGCGGATCACCATCGCCCGGTCCTAGTCCTGGACCTGGGATGAGCTCTTCCAAACATCAGAAGCAGCACTCACCCGGACCCAGATCCAACCTGAGGGTGGTAATACCCACACCATTGGGGTCTAGTATTACCACCGATGAGGTTTCTTATGCGGAAGTAAGTGCTAATAAGGGTGCCCATTGCGGTAGCGATAATGGAGGGGTTATTTTTTTGACAACTATTTAATGATAATATTGATTATATTTGTTTAGTCAGTATTTTTTATTGATATTTAGCTGCGACGTTAATAAACCCAACTCCAACTCTTTTTTCTAATCTCGGTTTCCAATCCCTTTCCTACTAATTTCCGCATAAAATTTTGACATTTTGCAGCTTTCAGTTTATATATGTTTTTTTACATTCCTCGCCAGTACATTCAAAACTGTTAAATTGATAGCTGTCAAAATCAAAATCAAAAAAGTTACAAAAGCCCAATAATTAGTCTGTATAAATTTAGCTCTTAAGGGTGAAAATTGAGTGATTTATTGATGATTTAGAAAGGATTTTACTTATTGCCCCTGCTCATTATTCCTGCTTGTCTGGCAATAGGGAGTTATGCGGGATTATTGATCATTAAACAAATGGCGAGTATTTTTATAGAGACTTATTTAATGAAAATGATTTAAGAAGTACAAAATGTTGGAAAAAATGTTATTATGTTATTGAAATAATTCCAGTTAAACTATATATCTTTATCAATGACATAATATCAGGATTTCCTACTTTTTGCTCACGATCTGAAATTGTTCTCAAAAATAATCACTCGAAATGACAATTTAGCACTCCAGTATAGATTGTGGCAGTAGTGCCACACCAATGGTGTGGAACTTGGTGGTACTTAAGTGTAGGGTAATAAGATTCCATAAGCCAAGAGATTATGTGAGTGTTGCCTATTGCGTAGTATATGCCACTTCGATAATGCAAGCAATGCATGCTGGGGTGTGTTAGGCGCAGCAAAACACTGTGTTATTTTTTACAAAACTTCTGGATTCCTCTTGCGTCGGTTTTTGTTAGTCGAACTTGCTGACGTTTCGCCAATCATCATGTTGGCTTCTTCAGAGCTTGACTGAAACTGCCTCGTATTTTATTCTGTACCTGCTTATATATTGTTTGAGGGGGGTGCTAATGAGGGGTATAAACACCGTCTCCGATGACTGATTCCCAAATTGGTGGCAGGTAGAGACCTGAGTTGCGGTTAAGATTGTTAGGTTGTTTATAGATTTCTATAGACTCTCGGATTTTTCCTTGGTAGAAGAACTGATTACATGCAAGATTTTTAGTTTTATCCAATAAAATTTTATGTTCGGTTTCATGAGTGTGTTCGGCAACAGCTGATGAGCTTATTTGTCTTAGTCTAAGGCTCTTTCGTGTTTTTTGAGCCTAGTTGATATTTTTCGTCCGGTCTCTCCAATGTATTCTTTGCCGCATATGCATGGAATGCTGTAAACTCCTGGCATCTTAAATGGAATTTTGTCTTTGACGGACCGAAGATGTTGAGAGATTTTTGGACAAGCAGTAAATCTGGTTTTGACGTTATACCTCTTTAGAACTTTTGATAAGTGGTCAGTGATGTTTTGAATGTAAGGAAGGACCACAGTGGCAAGTGTATGATTGCTTTCGGCCTCATTGCTATTGGAAGGTTGTGGTGAAGTGTATTTTTTGATGGAACGCTTAATATCTTTAATGTGGAAATTATTAGAGAGAAGAGCAGAGGTAAGGTGTTTTAATTCTGTTTTCAGTGACTCAGGCTGAGATAGTTTTACGGCTCTGTAAACAAGAGAGTTGATTTTGGGCCGGATGTTGATGTGACCATGCATTAAGGTATCGGTCTGTGTACGTAGGTTTTCTGTAAACACAATGACCCAATGTTAGGTCCGATTTTCTATTGATAAGAATATCTAAAAATGGAAGGTTATTATGAGTTGCCAACTCAATGGTAAAACGTATGTTAGGGTGTATAGAGTTTAAATGTCGATAAAAATCCACTAGGGTTTCTTGACCATGAGCCAAATAACAAAAGCATCATCGACGTAGCGTTTCCATAATTATGGTTTTAGATGAAAGGTGTCCAGAGCTTTCTTCTCAAAATAAATATATTCGCGATGACTGGTAATAGTGGAGAGTCCATAGCTGTTCCCGACGTTTGTTCAAAAACCCACGCAGGAGGAATCCAGAAGTTTTGTAAAAAGTATTACAGTAGCCTGTGGAAGTTTCTTTGAAAAATTATCAAACCTTCACTGTGTTGTTCTTAGGTCAAATCACATCTAGAATATGCTGCTTCAGTATGGAGTCCCAATTACACTTCTCATATACCGCTGATTCTGTCAATCAGGAACATCTCTTCTTCTTGTCCGCAAAACTCCGTTTAGTGGATTGTCCTTCCTATCTGCGTTCCAAGTGTAGTTTTGTTGTTTCCTAAAAAACTTTTTATAACACCAGTAAGTGAAACCCATACACTCTCTTCAGATTAGATCATGGTATTCACAAAGTTTTGATCGTTCATTAATCTCCTGATTTGACGACCTTCACAAATTGTTATTTTAAAATAAGCGTAATATAGTTTTTTAAACGGGGCTGTAATTATACAACTAAATTTCTTGACCACGAAAGAATCACACATATAGCAATATTTTTACAAAGTCAGACATTTAACAACTGCACAATGTTTACTAACTTCTCCAAACGACTGCCCACAACAAACGCATATTTGGTAATTCCAGAAACTATATTGTGGTGGCGCAGCAATTTCAACTTTTAGAATGTTATGTGATGACATCTCAAAAATTTTGTTTGGTGGAAACAAAAAACTTTGTTCTAGTCCCTATAATTCAGAACATTTTTGTTGGCCAAAAAAAAATAGACGTAAATGAATAAACTCTTGCGCCTAATAGACATCCTTTCCCGTAAAGTGTCCCCACCGCCGGAACAAAAACGGCAGCATGCAGCTTACGCAAGTGGTCGCCCCGTATATTGAAAAATAGTTTTTATTGCAGCATAATCGGACCCAGTCGTCTCTAAATACACCTGTTGTGGCTTTACAGACGCCAGGTTTGTCCAATTATCCAGGGACCCTAACGTCGTTCGGGCCGCAAGACTTTAGTATCGGCTCGGACATGAGCCTCACATCAATGTCCTGGAGTGGACACCACATACCGACATCACTAACGCACGGAGGAGGCAGTGCGGGACTACCACACTTGGCGGTATCGAGTAGTACACCTCCTCCGACATCCTCTTCACCGTTACCGGTGAAGATCAAAAGCGAGCCGATATCTCCACCGCGAGAACATCACCCACATTTAAGTTCAGCCGTCCATCACACTCAGCAGCACGTTCAAAGCCTCAACCTTACGCACAATCATCACCCACGGCCAAGTTCTGCCGGTCATATCACACCCACACCAGGAAGCGTTACACCAACTAACCTCCCGTCGCCTTCACCAGGTCCAGGGACGACAGTGTCCAGCGGAGGCTCCACGTCCTCCGAATACGACACGGTTCAAATGCACAAAAGGGCGAGACTGTCCGATTGGACGTCTTAGGCAATATTATGTAAAAGACGTCGGTTCGACGTCTATAAATGAAACTAGGTGAATAGGTGTCCACCTATATCTGCACCGAACACTAAGTGCCATAGTGATAACATGTGGACGTGAATACAATAAACATGTTTCAGTTTTATTGCCAATTGTCATCTATGTGATAAACTACAAATCTAGTAAGACATTTTGATAAACACTAGTTAACAAAAAATATAGTCATGAAGTAAGAAGTGAGTTGAGGGACGCTGCGAATTTTTTTTGTATATGGCGAGAAAGAGAGAGCATAAGATTTTTTTTATTCGACGGGATACGTTGGTGCGCGCGTACGCTATATGCTTACGGCCATTTTAAAGTTAGCATACAGAAAGGCATATCTTTATACAATCTATTTGTATAATACACACACTTTATTTATATAGTTTAAAAGATTGTTGGCAATTTGCTGGCACCTTTGACGGTTTTCCTTTTTTTGCGTATAAATATAACCGCCGTCTTCCGGTTTCATGTTACATTAAAAACAAAAATCGGTTTTCCTGCTACCTATGATAAGTATTTAAATGCTTTTAAAATAAAACTTAGATACGAGGTGAGTATAAATGTGATTTTTAAAAACCTTGAGGCCGATTTCAAGAGAGAGTTCCTTGTAATAGAAAAATCGATTTGGGCTTAGCAATGAATTGTTTAAAATGTGCAATATATTAGTGATGTTGAACCTGCAGTCGATCTCACCAAGTGTTAAATAATTGCCAATTTTGTTCCTTAATTTCGTACTATTCTGCTTGCTTTATTGATAATCTCTAGTTCGCTGTTAATCGAGAGTTCGCTATAATGTTGGTAGCGGTTAGTGCAATGTCGTGAATTTTAGCAAATACCCAGAGAAGACACGAGCGTTATGTTTATATACAAAAGAAAAATCGACACAAGCAAAGCGAGTGTGCCATTAATTTCATGTAATTATTAGTGTATTTTTTATAAATGTTTTAGGGAATAGTGTATCGTTTAAAATGTACACTTGTTATTTTAGCGAGTATGCAACACTAACATGCTGAGACTGCAGGAGCAGGACACTTGTCCTTATATCTGTTCTGTATCATTATCATATTTGTAATGTATCATATTGGTGCTTTCCCCGACCTGACGAATGTACTCTGCCCACTGGCTGTTATAGTTATGGGACCACAAGGTTGGTTAGAGGTGAACCTCCTGTCCCATCGATGTTCTGTAAAGTACTGCTTCCTAAGGAACCTAGGGTGTTCATTGTTGTAGCCTTTTCAATTTGTTTGTGATTTCAGAGTACGATTATATCTATTCTGTATATGACCTACACAGAGTAAATTATATAAAATTAGAAATTGTATAATATACATAATATATTTTATCTACTGTTGTGTGCACAACACTTGCACATAGTTCAAAGTTTATATGAGAAAAATTAATGCCTGGGGGATTCAGTCTCCTTGTACCTGGTGTACCTGCCCGCCTCTGTTTGCGGAAGACCCTATCTCCACTGATTACTGTAGGATTGCCTTACTCACAGTGCCTCGACAGTATGTACGTATCTGTATGTGTAACACACCATCGATGTCTTTATTTCAACTATTTTAAAGAAGCCACTGCGGTACATTCATTTTTATCGTCATCGTCACACTCACACAGGGTATATTTCCGTGTTTTACCAGCATTCTCCGCTGCAGTCGACACTCTACTGCTTGTGCCTTCCCATTTTATTTCGAGTCGTGTAAAATAATCGCGGAAACATTTTTACGCGGTATAACTAGTCTTGTAACAACAACGTTCGGATCTTAATAAAATAAAATGTTTTCCGGCTTTTATTTGGCACCATTCATATTTTACAAACGGCCGATCGCACAGACTTTGTCACGTTTGTTCCCTGTTTCCAGTGATCCATCGGCTTTCGCTGCTTTTAGTAAGCCCTCGAGTCATTATTTGAATAATTTGTTAATTTCTTTTGAATTGAATTATATCACTGTTTTTATTGCGAAACATTTGCCGGTGATAACATTGCGACACACGTATCGAGTAATTTTTTATTAAGTTTTGGTTACTTTACGCAAATTATGTACGTCTTAAATAGACGAAATACACCTAGCTGTACATGTACATACTATACTCACAATTGTTGTACAATGCCGTTCTTATTGTTAGCTGTATTGTATATTTTTGTTCTAACAGATGAGAAAAAAAAAGCTGTTTTCCTAAATTTTATGTTAAATCCATTCGACGTAAGGTATTTTCAGTCATGTGCAATATTAATCTGACATTTATTTATCTACATTGTATTGACTTTAAACCAAATAAAACTGTTTGTTACATGCACTTTTTTATTGTTCGTTGTTGCTCTTGTCCTTTAAATTAATTCATCCTCCTTTGGCCTGTTATAATTGTTTGCTTTTGCTTAAAATATCTCAATTTAAATCGTACTCTTGTTTCTTTTTGTTGTACGTAATTCTTTATTTATTGTGTCTTCATTTTCCAATTTGAATTTTAAAATGTTTAATTTCAGGATTGATTGTTTCGGAGTTTTTTAAAATTATTTGTTTCAGTATTTGACTTTCTACAATTTATTTATCATATTTTTTCTCTTGTCTGGTGATGGAGGGTCGCTCAGAACATTCAGAAAATCGTCTAAACGCTCACCGACCTAGAAATGAAACGTTTCCATAGTTGAAGAAATCGTATTTTGAATTTGTATTATTTTTTAGTAATTTAATTTTTTGCGCTGTCCAGGTACAGTGTTTTAATTGTTTTTGTTTGTTTCAGGATTAATCTAAATGGTTTTCATCTTAAATATGATAAAACTATTTATTAACTGAATGTTCTTTCTCTTTTATTGTATTTATTCTTAACCGTTGTGTCTCTCTTATAACTTTTTGTGGGTTTTTGGTCTTTTGCTTTAAATTAAACCTATTTCTGTGTTGTTATTATTGTTTGATTTGGCTTGGAATATCCCATTCTTCTTACTCTTCGAATTTTAAAGTATTTTCTTTCAGGATTGATTAGTTTATTTATATTTTGTGGAGGTTTTTTAAATTATCATTTGTTTCAGTTTTTCTTATTAGACTTTCTACCATTTTGAAGTTTTTTATTTTATTTAACATATTTTTTCTTTTGAGGGGCGCTTACAACCTTTTAAAAGCTCACAGACGTAGAAATTAAACATTTCCAAAGCCCGAGAAATTTAATTTTTTGCGCTGTCTGAGCAAGTGTTTTAATTTTTGTTTGTTTGTTTCAGATCTAATCTAAATATTTTTCATTATAAGGATCATAAAACTATTTATAAATTGAATGTTTTTCTCTTTTCTTGTTAATACTCTTAAGCATTGTGTTTCTCTTACAACTTTTCGTGTTTTTGCTCTTTTCCTTTAAATAAATTAAACCTTCTTCTGCACTGTTATTGTTTACTTTTACTTGAAATATCTGTTTTTAATCGTAATGTTATTTTCTTTTTTCTTACTTTATTTTCGTTTTATTATATATTAATTTGCCATCTAAGATAAGAGCTCCTGGAAATTTAAAACGTTTCATTTCAGGATTGTTTTGTTATTTATATTTTTATCGGCATTTCTACGTTTTTGAAGGTTCTTAATGTATTTATAATGTTTTTTTCTCTTCTCTTCCCTTTTTTCTTCAGAGCTCAGTGACATATGATTGAAACGTTTGCGTACCAAGGATTGAAGCCCAAGAAATCGTATTATTAATTTGTATTGCTTTTAAGTTAGGAATTTCCAGGTACAATGTTTTAATTTCTTTTGTTTGTTTCAGGACTATTCGAACTGGTTGTCATTATAAGGATCATAAAACTATTTATTAACTGAATGTTTTTCCCTTTTATTGTATTTACTCATAACCATGGTGTTTTGCTCTTATCCTTTAAATTAATTCATCCTTTTTTGCCCTGTTATTTTTTTACTTTAGTTTCGTTTTATTTGTTCTTAATTGCCATCTAGCTCTTGGAATTTTAAATTGTTTTATTTCAGGTTTGATTTGTTTATTTATATTTTGTAGAGGTTTTCTTTTGGGCTTTTACATGTTTGAAACTTCTTATTGTATTTATAATGTTTTTCTTTTCTCTTCCCTTTTTTCTCCCAAAGTTTAGTAACATATGAATGAAAGATTTCCATAGCAGACATTGAAGCCGAAGAAATCGTTTTATGAATTTGTATTTTTTTTTTGGTAATTTAATTCCTGGGGTATCCAGGTAACTTGTTTTTTTTTGTTTTAATGTTTTTTTTGTTCAGTCAGTTGAGGTTATAACTATTATACTATTTATTAACTCAATGTTATTTCTTTTTTGTATTATGTTTTCGTTGTCTTATATATTACTTTGCCATCTAACACCACTTGGAATTTTAAGTTTTTTGTTTCGGAATTGATTTATTATGTCTTCCGATTTTGCTAGGAATTTTTGACGTTTTTGACTCTTTTTATTGTATTTTTATGTTTTTTCTCTTCTCTTCGATATTTTCTCCCAAAGCTACAGTGCTTTTGTTTTTATTATTTGGTTCAGCACTATTCCAAATAGTTTTCGTTATAAGTAATATGAACTACAGAATATTTGAATACTAGAATAGTGAATGAGGAGAACTATTTATTGCTTGCTGAATGTTCTTTCTCTTTTCTTGTATCTATTCTTACCATTGATGTTTATCTTAAAACTTTTAGTGAGTTTTTGCTCCAAACCTTAAAATTATTCTTTTTTCCCCTGTTCTTATTGTTTGCTTTGCTTGAAATATCCCGGTTTTAATCGTATGTTATTTCTTTTGTTTTTGTACGTCATGTTTGATTTATTATATTTTAATGTGCCACTAATAGTTAATAAAATGTTTTATTACAGGATTGATTTGTTGTATCTTCATATTTTGCAAAGATTTTTAGAATTATTACTTTTTCTTATTGGACTTTCTATGATTTTGAAGCTGACGTATAAAAGAAACGTTTCCGTGGCAAACATTGAAGCTGAAGAAATGATACAATGAATTTGTATTGTTTTTTTTTTATAAGTTTCACTTTTCTGTTGTTTGTTTCAGCACTTATCTAAATGGTGTTCGTTAGAAGGAACATAATTTTGGATTACAGCAGATTTGAATGCTTCAATCTTTTGATGTATCAATTGCACACTGAATAAAGCTATTTATTAACCGAATATTCTTTCTTATTCCTTTGTCTTTCTCTCATAACTTTTGGTGAATCCTTTAATGAGCGTTTTATTTATTATTATTAATTTTGTTAAGCGCCATGTTGTTTTAAAGTGTAAATATTTAAAAGCATGTCATATATTATCCGCGGTCTATTTGAAACCAATAGCAGTTTCTAATGGAATTTCTATATACATTTTCTTATTTTTATCTTATTTTCTGCAACTTTTTTTTTTAATTATTTTTTTTATCAACTAAAACAATTACAATAAGTAACAAAAAATTAATTGGAAATTCTTTAAACAGTACGTAAAGCACTGGTCTCAAGAATACAAGTAATAAATTTATAAAAAATAAATACAAAAAATGGTAAGTATACAACCCATTACTTAATCTTATTACTATTATACCTTGTATAGTACCTATATTTAATTTACATTCAATTGAATTTTTAACTGTTTTACAAATTTAGTATATTTATTTATATTTCTTACATTTTCTGGAAGCTTATTATAAGTACAGGCTGCTTGAAATACTGGATTTGGAAGTCCGTTATTAGTAATTGTAAATATCGTTATGAGATATGTTGTCATACATGTGAACGTCTTTATTAAATATAACCCTCATGTTAGACTTTTGTATTTTATTTATCACCTAATACATAAATTTGCATTGTTCTTTCTAACTTAATCAATTTGTTTATTTTATAAATGTCCAATTCTCTATACAAATTTTCTGTATGTGTGCGACGATCATAATTAAATAAAATTTTTTAGGAATTTATTTTGTAGAGTTTACATTTTCTTAAAATAAGTTGCGCCACATACACCCCATATTGGAATTATATATCTCATATGTGATACAAACTAAGAATTGTAAATATTCATTTTACTATCGTAATTCAGATAATTTCGGCTTTTATATACGGCACACACCAAATTGTATTTGATATAAAATTAATATGCTCAGCCCAGTTTAAATTATCATCGATCAGGACTGAACCCTGTAGACCTTTCAACGTGATCCACTTTGTATACGTTGTTATAACCAGTCCATCGTGTTCCAAGCGATATTTAAGTTGCATACCGGTTGCATAAAATGATGTTTGTTTAGAATTTCCGGAGTATTTAAGCAAATCACAATTTAGTTTGATAGTTTCATCGCAAAAAGGAAATATATTACATAATTTTACAAAGAAAATATTTTATGCAAGCTGCTGCTCTCACGGAAATACTTTATAAGGATTTAGGATCCGATTGGGATCCATTATTCGTTTTAGTTCTTTCATCATATTAAACGGACCCTTTGAATTAACCAAATTCAAATATTTCGCTTTTTGAAAACCCATGCCGTGTTCGGCGCTAATGCTTCCGCGCAGATCTAAAGTTTTCTTTATAACAAACGCCTCTAACGACTCTTTAAATTGTTTATCGTAGCTGTGTGCGGTAACTATAAGGTGCAAATTTCCGTCGCCTAAAAATAGTAATTTGAAATCAGGAAAAGAATAATTATTATATATTATATACCTAAGTGCCCAAAGCCGCAAACTACATCCGCTTGTTTTCCAAAATGTGTTTTTGTGTCGTCCACAATTTGGAAAAAGCTTGTCAGGGGCAACGTGACGTCATACGAATAAGAATATCCACACTGTCTAATTCCGTCTGGAATTTTTTCCCTGATACTCCAAATTGCCTAAAAAAATGTTCTATTTGAGAATGTACTCTCGACGTTTTAAATAAGCAAATGGCGAGCATCTTCAGGAGACTTCAGACTTCAGAGATAACTTCTTCACCACACCCCGTATGCTCATTCTGACTTATACGTTTAATGTTACTAGTTTTTCTATAAATTATCAGTACTCCTTTAACATGCAACATTAATAAAAAGAAAATGCCCAAAATCTCGAGGATCTACTCAAACAAAAAATTCTAGAAAAAAAAGTATTAGAGAGAAATTCGAATTATTACAATTAAATAATAATAATAAATATTGTTATTATAAAAATGCATAATTATTTTTTTTATTAAAACGAGTAGATGGAATTAAATTAGACTCCCCCATTAATTCTTAACTAAATTTAAAGAAAAACTTGCCGAATATATATATATATATATATATATATATATATATATATATATATATATATATATATATATATATATATATATATATATATATATATATATATCTATATATATATATATATATATATATATATATATATATATATATATATATATATATATATATATATATATATATATATATATATATATATATATATATATATATATATATATATATATATATATTTTTAACGTATTGATTCACGGATGGAAAAATGTGATGACACTATATTCTGGAATATCATCCGTTCACTTGTTGAACTCCGACTGGAATCCTGCAGACGTTTCGCCAAAATCTCATTTGGCAATGCTCGCGCTCCGAGTGTTCGAAGTGTTTTCGGAGCGCGAGCACTGAGGATGCCAAGTGAGATTTTGGCGAAACGTCTGCAGGATTCCAGTCGGAGTTCAACAAGCGAACGGATGATATCCCGGAATATAGTGTCATCATATATATATATATATATATATATATATATATATATATATATATATATATATATATATATATATATATATATATATATATATATGTATATATATATATATATATATATATATATATATATATATATATATATATATATATATATATATATATATATATATATATATATATATATATATATATATATATATATATATATATATATATATATATATATATATATATATGGCGTATTCAATATAAGCTGTACTTGATTGTAATTTATTTTCTTTTTCTAAACATTCACAATTCCTAGATTCATTTCTGATTTAAAAAGTAAAATCCAGTCCATGTAGTTTGTCTTTAAATTTGAGGTCTGATTTATCCTTTCGAAGCAGCAATGGAAAATTATACTACTAATGATTTTGGCCTTTCCTGTGCCATTTCTAAGTTAGCAGTCTAGGCTCGAGAGGCTCGGAAAGCCCTTAACCAACTAGATTAGTTTACCTCAACTTTTGTTGGTTCGTTGGTTACAGTTCCGTTTACCACGAGATCAGTCTCCAAACTAGAATCAAGGAACTGGCTCACTTTTTCCCCGTCATGCGCTTCGTTGCTACCAGATGTTTCGATTAAGACGTAAAATGGGTATTTACCTATGGGAGATTTTATGTGTGTTTCCCTCTCTAATAAATCAATCGAATCGGCATCCATTACCTCAAAAGCTGACAAAATTTCACCCAGATCTTCTTTCGATTTCTTAAGTGTTTGCAATACCCTTTCGTAATTCTGGCAACCTGACAGAAAACGCTGAAGTCATGATTTTTAAATAAACGGGAAGACTTGATAAACTCACCCAAAAAAGCTACGTTGACAGACTTCGGTAGGGTGGGACACAACAGAGCCACCTTGGTAATAAGCCCTAAAGTGCCTTCCGAGCCGATAAATAGATTTTTTATGTGAAATCCTGTGTTGTTCTTTTTTAAAGTGGCCAAACTGTCGATTATTTCACCGTTGGCTTTCACCTAAAACACACTATTTTGTATGGCACTATTTTAGACTCCTTTAACTTCTAAAAAGTAATATTTGGAACAGTTCTTGGAATACCTATAAAAATGGGCGAAGGTTGTATACATTTTGTCAAAAACGGAGCGATTTAATAAAAATTGAACTAAATTGGCTTTTACTTGATGAAAATCCATTTAACAAAATAAATAAGAACTAAAAGTTCAGATTTTCGCGAAATTATGTATTTTCCCATGACAATTGCTTCGACAACACCTTGTGTTTATTAAACATTTGATAAAGACACGGTGTTGTCGAAACAATTGTCATGTGAAAATATATAATTTCGTGAAAATATGAACTTTTAGTTTTATCTATTTTGAGTAATTTAGTAGTAAATGACTTTAGTTTGTGAATATGACTATGAATTTTTAATCAGAATGACTTTTATACCTTTGTTGAGTTTAGACCATCACTTATGGAATATTTCATATTTAATATAAACTAACTTTCATCTCTAAGTACAGCTGAACGAGAATTATTATAGAAAGTTTGTTGAAATGCTGAAAAAGAACTCGAAATATGACAAAGATAACCTTGATAGCTTTTGAGTGGTTTGAGTTAAACCTTCAATTTTTTATCAACATGATTTTGGTAATATTGTCAGGATTAAGGCTATTGGAAAACCATTCACTTACCACTTCTAATCCTAAGACATTACCATGAAGATTGCCATATCGCAAAAGTCTTTTGCCGCCAGCATTGGTGGCTACATTTCCTCCGATGTGACAAGAACCTTTGGCCCCTAAATCAACCGGTGCGATTAACCCTTCTTCTGATAACCTGTTATTTAAATTTTCCAAAATGCAACCCGCTTGACATATCACAGTACCTATAAACTAACACAATTAGCAAGTATCCGGCTTAACACTCATATGTTGATTACCGGCAGTGGGATCTATTTCTATAATATCGTCCATTAATTCAGTTGAAAGTATGATTTCATCAAAAACAGGTACACTACCACCAACGACGCTAGTGTTCCCACCCTGAGGACATACTGCCAATTTATTTTTGTTACAGTATTCCAAAATTTGGGATACTTCTTCCGTTGATTTTGGTCTCAACACTACCGAACTTGACCCTTAAACATCAATTCATTTTATTACAACAGAGTTTGTTTCGTGACATATACTGAGTGAGAGAATTTAAAATATAGGGTGTTCAGTCATAGTTTTCTAGAATTTTTGATCATAAATATAGCTTTAAAATTCAAAGTTGTCAGTGGCGTAGCGTTGGGAAAAGCAATTTAATTGCTTTTTTTACAATTTGGAACGATTTAAATAATAAATTACTTAGATTAACTCGCCTATTTTATTTGGATAGAGTAAGCAAAAAATTGTCAGTTGCTCAGTGTATGTACTTATATGCATAGGCAACAAACCTTTAAAAAACTGAACGATTGACTAAATATAATTAAAATAGCAAAGTTCAAGTTAATTTTATCGCAATTTGACCATACAAATGACGAAAGGCAAAAACAAATGCCCACAGACCATAGATCTAACCAAAAAACTGACTGTAAAGGCGATGACAACTTTTTCGTGAAATGTAATAAACCTACCACATTTCTTAATCTACATAAATTGATTTAATAAGGAGGTGTAAATCCTGTTCAGATTTTCCTCATTTCCGAAAAATTTTCTTTGGAAAAGCCTAGGGTCGATCCCAATTTTGTTACTTAAAAAAAAAATAATAAAAAAAATATATTTAATTTTTTTATAATAATATTTAAATATTTTAAAAAGAACAAACTTAGAAAACGGTAAAACTATAAAACTAAATTGGTTCAGATATAGGTAATAATTTAAGAGGAAATAGATATATTACCGCCATTTTTTAAGGAAGAGTGTGAAGTGAAGACAAAGTGAATAGACTGATAAGATTAGTGAAGACAAATTATCTTGTATTTGTGATGTTGGATGGTTCCTTAATCATTACTGCAATTTATCCATAGCCCTGGGGATGACATAGCTTTGAATCGAAACGTAAGCCATTAGCTTCAAAAAGTTTGGCTGAAATTTCCTCTACGCCATTGACAAAAGATTTGCATTAAAATCACTGATAACGATATCATAACAATGCGAACAGTTTTAAGGTTTTTGCTGTCGCTTCGAGTTGTTTTTTAATTAACGATACCGTTATATTTGCTATATATTTACCTCTGTAAGTCAGAAACCAGTCAACATTGTATTTTTCTAAATCGGATAGGTCCGTAACAACTCTCTCTCCTAATAATTGTTTAAAAAATAGCAAGTGTTGTTCTTGGGGGTAATTATAGTACCCTCGCTCCACGTTGTAGTTGTTCTACGAAAGTACGACTTGGTTTGCAAAGTAATCCTAAGGCAGTAAATGACTTACCATCGTAAAGTCCGGCTTATGTCCCATGTGCCTACATACATTTTTAACACAGAAAAAAACCGGCAGTCGAATCAGCTTATTCAGTAACATTTTTATATAAACTTTCTGCTATGGATTCGTTGTAACCTCTGATTAACTCAATGTACATTCTTATCAGCACCAATACACATAATGACGTATTTGATATTGGCTATTAAAGAATCCAACACGACAAGTACTTTCTAACAAGAAACGGGATCTTGAAGTTATTAATAATGCGGGCTTGTTTACAGTTTTCGTTGAACGTATGAATGCCTTGCCGAGTTTGATAATATTAATAGATACCCAAATAAACATATGATGGCACGTTAAGGTTGTGCCACATTTGGGCGCTGATTTTAAAAGTTGTAACGGTTTTTTTTTGTTTAAATATAAATTCAAATTAGCGACGGATATCTTGACACATACGCGTTCGTGTATATAGTCTCCCCGTAGTAATAAGAAAGTAATAACATACTAACAAAATAACTTTCAAATATTGCTAAAAAATTATTAATAAGTCTTGATTTTTACTTAGTTTTGAATAATTTATATTCGTTCTTTATATTCGTATTCGTATTCCACAATTCCTTAGATAAGGAAGTGGCATAATTTCCAACTTCTTAAAAATTGGTAGACAGTGCTCCAGATAACCTGCACCGCCAATCAAACGAACAACTTTTTTTGGAGTTTAAGTGCCTGGTTTGCTATGGCTGTTCATAGATATAAGAAAGTGACTAACTGATACGAATTTAGGAAAGACCCGGGCAAGCTGTACGAATGAAATATGGCCGAACAGGTCTGTACTTTGCTTAGAATTTAATTATTAGGGATTTTGTTAGGAAAGATACTCAACAATATTTATTTATTTATGTATGTATTTATGTTTAAATCTAAAATAAAATTACAAATTATTTTTATTACCTACTTAAATTACTTAAAATTATTCACATAATATGTCAGTATCACTATCGCTATCATCGCCTGTTCTAATTATTATTTGTTCTATATTATTTGCAATATAGATATACGATTGTTCTGCTTTTTCTATATGTTTAACAGAATTTGCCTAACTTTGTGGAGGGATGTTAAAAACTTCGGTTTCTATAAGTTTGAGGACATTGGAGTTAACACGGATAAAAATATTGTTACGACGAATGGCAGATTTCAGTTGATGCCAAACATGTTCAATGGGATTAAATATACAGTGGTAAGGTGCCCTTGACACTGTATGCCCTAGATTTTGTAGGTTCAAGCTTTGTAGAATCTCAATTAATTGCTTTTTGGTATAATCTTCGTGAAAATAAATGTGGTTATTATAAATGTAGTTTTGAATTGTTGCTTTTGTGTCACATGAGGAAGGGGTTTTAGTCAATTGTCTACTGTGATAACTTGCATTGTCCATTACAATTACGCTATTAGGAGGGATGTTTGGAACTAGTTTGTTTTTAAACCAACTTTCAAATAAATCATGGTAATCCAGAATAGATTCTTTAATATTTTTCGCAGACAGAGAAAGTCCATTTGGAATCCAACCATCTTTAGAGCCAGGCGCGTTTGTTTTACACTTATCAGTTGAGTCAACCCAACTGTTTTCCGAGGCATCATAAGTGTCGAACCAGGTTTCATCTAAGTAAATAATTATCTTTTGTTGTTCTCTGTAAATCCTAATTTTTTCTAGATATTCCAGTCTCCATTTCCGAATTCTAAAAGATTCCATTAAAACTTACCTTTTGTCAATTTGTTTAAATCTAAAACCATAAGCTAGTTCTGCCACATTTAACATCGGTTACATCTTTTTCAAGCCTCCTAATTAAGATATCTAATGTAGGCACTCTTTCTTCCTCGTATAACTGGTAACTTTTACGCCGTATTATATCTCTTTCATCTACACTCGAGAAAATGTCAGCATCGTTTCTTTTTTTCCTCGCGGATATGGGATTATTCGTAATTTTCCATACTCTTGATGTTGGAATTTTCGTCAATGTGGCCTTTTCTTCTAAAGATTCTTGCTTGCTGCCACCACACTCAATGAGAGTCAAATAAACATTGTTTATAACTTCCTTAGTCTCAATAGGATAGTGTTTTCTACATTTGGGCGGGGGCACCTCCTGAGATACACACGAAATAAGAATGATTACTAATAAACTTAAACTAAGTAGTATACCAAACCAAAGAATACGGTATAAAATTATTTTCTATTGCGGACCGCAATTTTACCTGAATTTAAATTCCGAAATTTTTGGTAATAATGTTGTTGCATTGTATGTTAACGACCACCCTTGGACAATCTTATTCAAAAACAATTGGTCACTTTCTTATATCTATGAACATACCATACTTATTACTTAACTCATTTTTTAGAAATTTATTAATAAAAACGAATATCGTTACGTATTTCGGAATATTAACAAATTCCATTACCACATTAGTTTTGAAAGGCCTCTGTGTGAGATTATTACATAACGTTTTTACTCTGTTAAATCCATTTTTGATATTATAAAGCTTCTTTTTTTTTGCAACACAAAGATTACTATTCCATTTTAAAACATAGGTCCTTTCTTAATAATCTTTTTTTTTTTTGCTTTCTAACAGCTTTCAGGAAAATGTTTTACAAATTAAATTTAATTTTTTTTATTATACTTGTTTTATTTTCTTTTATTTATTTTATATAATTTATCGGCATCGTATTGATGAAAAGAGCAGTAATTCAATAAATTTATGAAATCAGATGTTTATTATTGATTTGACCCATCTTAAATTTGAGGGCAAACTAGACTTAATTTATGTATGAATAACGTATTGGGGAAGTCCCAGTTTAAAAAGTTTCATTTTTTAAATAAATCGGAAACCACTTTAATCGATTAATGAATTGTTGAATTGTTGCCGCTGTATCGACTATTTAAAAAATTTTAAAAACTATGAAACACTCTTCACATGTATTAAAGATTGTGATATAACATTTTTCCAGACTAATCTCCAACCTTTATATAGTTTGATTTCGTAATAGAATAAACATTAAAAAAGAAAAATATTTTATATCATTATTATATATCTAAAATATTAAATATCCAGCATTTGACTTAATTTTCTTGGCTCAGTTTCATTTTTAATATTATATGTTATTTATATAATTAATATACTTATATATAGCGACTTAAAAAAAAGAAAATTAAACGCAAAATAACGGCTGCGTTTAAAGAGCGCGTAGTGTGGCAATGCCTTTATACTGCTTAACTGTCGTATAATGTTTCTTTAAGAATTCTCAGTAGTGTTATCATGTGGCAAAGAGGCAGGACCGGATTCTACAAATTTGAAACTTCATCTCGTATAAACAGCATTTATTTGAAAATAAATTATAATTACTTAAAAATAAATAAATACTAATTTAAATTAATGCGAGTATCTGTTTTTGGAAAAACTACTATTACCTAAAAGCGCAAGCACACACACACACACACACACACACACACACACAAACCAACTTATTCTTAAAGTGGCATATCACATATTTTGTTGTGAGCTAAGATAGCAAATAATCCGGCCAAAGATATACCGGCACTGTCTCCAAATGCCGTTATGGCCATGTAATATTGTTTATTTTCCTGAGGTACCTGGAATTTATTATAATTTAGACAACTATTCTAAATTGCTTAAATATTTAATTACTTCTGTTGATATTCTATAATAAGTGTTGACGTATGATGACCCTCCTAAAAGTCCTTCCCATAACACCAAAGCAACGACGATGTAAAAGTTTGGAATGTAATAGTAAATAGCTTCCGTGGTAAAAATTATCACATTTACTCCCTAAAACCACATCAATTCCAGTGGTCAACCCAACCAATTAATAGTTATTAAAATATAATTTTATTTAAATATACATAGAGTTGGAGTATAATATAAACTTTTATTATATTATTTTGTGTACTACATTGTATCCTATTGTATCCATCCTAAATTGGCTGTAACCTAATAACCATTAGGCAAATTAAAAATTTAATGTTATTGGACTACTCTTCTACTGCTACTCTCTGAGATTTCAATCTAAATGAATTTTTAAGGGTATCTCTCATTGGCGCACCCAATTTCTTCTTCGTTTACCGTTTTTGAGTCATAACCACAGTTCATGCTACTATTGTTTGTTGTAATTGACCTTCGGTATAATTATTAATATATATATATATATATATATATATATATATATATATATATATATATATATATATATATATATATATATATATATATATATATATATATATATATATATATATATATATATATATATATATATATATATATATATATATATATATATATATATATATATATATATATATATATATATATATATATATATATATATATATATATATATATATTTAAAAAGTCTAGTAGTGGTGACCACTGCAATGTGGGTAGCTACATAATGCTGAGCGAAAGTTCCTTCACAATAAAAGCACTATTTTACAAATATTTATGCGATGATAGACATATCTTTGACACCAAAAACAGAGAAAGATCTAAATTTTCTTTGCCTTTGCTATTCACTCTCGCCAAGATGCCACTTTTCAAAATTTTGAATACTCATGATTTTGCTATAATACAAATGCTCAAACTTATGACTCTCAAGGTTAATATGGATTTATAATTATTTATTGACAACAGAAATTCCTTTCATGCCCTACAAAATGTAGTAAGTTTCGGCACAAAGAAAGCTCAGCTTAGCAAAATAAATAATAGCCAATTTGTTATATCATTGAAACGAGGTAAATAGCACTATATGATGACAAAAAATTAAACATGACGTTTATAAGGGGTATAAACAGTAAACTAAAACAGTAAAAAAATTTGTTAGTTTGGTCTGATTTATACCCTATAGGGGACAACGAATTCAGGGTGCACTGCACTTTCATTCTTGCTTTATATAGGCATTGTAAATTTTAGTCATAATAACTTTTTATATAGTTGCAGACAAATGATAGTTTCAGGTAAATGGCTGTTGCTTAGGCAAATGTTATCTGCCTGGGCAAATTGCTTCTTGGTAGTCGTTGGCAGGCAAATGAAAAATAATTTTATGACCATGTAAGTGAATATTTGGATTTTTTATTATTCACTCATAGTTTTTTACAAATATTTTGTTTGTATTTAGCATTACATTACAATTAATAAGGAAATTTTGTTTAAGTTACTGATTTACGTTTTCTTACTATTTTTAGAATTAGTTTTTGCCTTTGTTATAAATAATATTCATTAAATAAACTGACGTTTATTTTGTTATTACAAATATTAACATTTCCATTTGCTTAAAAAATGTTTAGGGAAGCATTGCATTACAATAATTAATGTATTACAAATTTTGTTTAAGTTTTATATTTACATTTTGTCATTATTTGTAGGATTAGTTTCTTAGTTTCTTATAAAAAATGTTCACTAAATAAAGTATTACAAATATTATTGGACATTATTACAAATATATATTTTTTCTTTTGCCCAAAACATGCTTAGGCAAATACCATTTGACTAGTCAAATACATTTGTCGAGTTATTTAGTACTTGAAAGATAAAAAGCATTTTTGGTCCAGGTAGCTAGCATTTGCCTACACAAAAGCTATTTGCCTAGAATTGCCATTTGCCTGCGACATATATAACATTATTATGTGTTGAACCACAGAGAATAAAGTAGAAATTCAAGCCGGCTCTGACCAAATTACGTTTAATGGGTGGTAAAGGTCAAACCATGGGTCAACGGTAGTCTTTTCACTATTAATATACCTGTAAAAAGGCCATAATCCAAGTTTGCCTAATATGAAATAAGTTCACTGATGATCGAGAGATGAAAACTCCTACTTGATAAGTTACTTGAAGCCACCTGTACTGAGAATCTTGGGGAATCGATGAATTTTTTATCTTGATTAATTCGAACTGAAATAAGAGTATATTGTAGTTCTTTTTCGTTTTTGATGTCGTGAGTACGAACCGTTCCCTGGTTAATGAAATACTCAAACAAATACACCAAGGCGAACGGAATCATGTACTTCAAAACTCGAGGAATGAGCCGGAGTTTTGCCAAAAAGCCTGGATGAGGAATTTCAATTTTTTCTTCATCAAATTCCGTCGGGATTTGATCAGTCATTGGTTTCGGGAGAATGATCCAAAATCTAATAGAAGCTACCGCAATTTTCTAGCCAATTAATACTGACAAAGTGCTTACGATATAGCCATTGATGCTGGTACTACCAACATGATCAGCAGCGACGTTTTCATCCCAAAATACTGGAGCAGGGAATATGAAAGAGCACCGATAACTCCTGCTCCTCCAGTGCCGGAACTCCATGCTGATACGACGTTTCTGCAAAATTGTCATATACAGTTTGTTGTGGGATTTTTTTTACTCCATGGAAATAAAATTATTATCCAAAGTTGCATTTTGGGTGCACTTTTTCTATAGTTAACATCAACAGATCCAGTGAAGTTTTAATATTTTAGATTTGTTTGTTGCAACGATTTTAAATTACAATTGTAAAACTTCCAATATATTCTTATCACTATCAAATTGTAACTGCTTTAAGATCTGTTTTAATCTGGCAACAAGCTGATATCGGGCTTTATCACTTGATTTAATAGTTTAATAATGCAAGTGTAGATACTTAAATTAAAGTTCAGAATCAGTATTTGATACTCGTAAAATCTCAGTACGTAATTATATCTTAATGAATGAATGACACGATGCTGTTGAGAAGAATTTTCAAAATGTCTTCGGCAGTGCCTAAGCAACTATTTAAATGAAATATATATCGTCACTAAATTTACGATAAAGGTATCGTATGGTAAATTTTTCTGAAAAGACATTATGACCTTTTTATTCGAATTAAAGTTAGAAGTGATTATTTTAAGCTTTTTTCATTTTTCTTGGCTAAAATATCATAAGCGGGCAAGTTTAAGAAAAATATATTAATTTTCTCGCCCTATATTTCCCAGGCCTTGAGATCCCGAATTTATGTGACACGGTATTAGTACATCCTGAAGGACAAAAAGCAAATAATCTCAACATTTTGTTATAAATAATGTTTGATTAAATGTTGATTGCACGCGCATTTGCAAAATAAGTAGAGATGTTTGCCATTGTAAAACAATGTTTGTTTCTGATAAAAAAAATCAGGGGCGTACCTGTTTTTTCCAATCGAGGTGAAATTACTAGTACACTAATTTAAAATGGATTTTTACAAATAATTTAAAATCCTAATTGGTTTCCAGTTTTAAAATATAAGGTTGTTCGGAAAGTCATTTCGTTTTTTCCCGTCAGAGGACTTAATTACGTTTTTTCGAAACCAACTTCACACTTAAGCCGCATAACCATTATATGTCTTGAGAGCTGATGTTGCAAGGCTTGTGTGTGAAAAAGTTCTATTAATTCTACGCAGTAGTTTTTGGTTGGTGCCCTTTTAAATATGGAGAGCAATAAGCAGCATTTTCGTCATATTTTACTTTTTTACTTCAGAAAAGGTAAAAATGCTGTCCAAGCGAGAAAAAAATTGACGGATGTGTATGGAGAAGGCGTGTTAACAGTACGCCAGTGCCAGAACTGGTTTGCAAAATTTCGATCCGGCAATTTTGATGTCGAAGATGCACCACGGTCTGGAAGGCCGGTCGAAGCTGACAAAGATGCGATAAAGGCATTAGTTGATGCAAATCGGCGAATAACCACACGAGAGATCGGTGAGAGATTAAATTTGTCGAATTCGACTGTTTATGGCCATTTGAAAGGCATGGGCTTAACCTCGAAGCTCGATGTGTGGGTGCCCCATGTCCTTACGGAGCGAAATTTGTGTCGTCGCGTTGACGTGTGTGATTCGCTCCTCAAACGTCAAGAAAATGATCCATTTTTGAAGCGGATTATTACTGGGGACGAAAAATGGGTTGTATACAACAATATTAAACGCAAGAGGTCATGGAGCAGAAAAGATGAACCGGCTCAAAGCGTGTCAAAAGCCAACATTCACCAAAAAAAGGTGATGCTCTCCGTTTGGTGGGATGTCAAAGGAATCGTTTTTTTTGAGCTTTTGCCGGACAATACAACGATTAATTCAGAAGTCTATTGTCATCAACTTTACAAATTGAATGATTCACTTAAAGAGAAGAGGCCCGAATTAATCAACAGGAAGGGTGTAGTGTTCCACCGGGATAATGCGAGATCTCACACAAGTTTGGTCACTCGCCAAAAACTTTTACAGCTTGAATGGGACGTACTGCAATATCCACCATATTCTCCAGATCTGGCGCCTTCCGACTACTATTTGTTCCGGTCCCTGCAAAATTTTTTGGATGGCAAAACCTTTACCTCAAATGAAGATGTCAAAAACCACCTGAACCAGTTTTTTGCCAGCAAGGACCAAAACTTTTATGAGAGGGGAATTATGTTACTGCCAGAAAGATGGCAAAAGGTGTTGGACCAGAATGGCCAATATATAATTTAACAAAATATTTATTCATTATACGAAAACTGTCTTTCATGTTCCCCAAAAAAAACGAAATGACTTTCCGAACAACTAAAATATTATACGGGGTGTTATTTCATAGGTTTCTAATATTCCACAGGGCGATTTATCAAGTATTTTAAAGTTGAAAAGTTGTATAAAATATAAATAAAACCGATTTCCAAACCAAAATTGAGACCTGGGTGTTATAATCATATACCTTTGATAAAACGAGCTATACTGCAGATAGGTGACTTCGCCCAATCCAGAGCAAAAGGCAGTAAAGACGACACCCATGAGCGCCAAAGTTATATTTTGGCCGAACGCCACTGATATGAAACCTGCCGCTGCAAAAATTACACAGGCTGCAACTCGAACGCTAGAAAAAAAAAGGGCAAAAAGTACACCAATTTTCGTATACTTAAATATACGTACTGCACCATGAATGGGATGAATGGAGCCAAAAATTTTACCAGAAGGGCGGGAAGTATATCAGCTAGCAGAATTGCACCGGTAGACATGTACGTACAGTCTCTTGCATTGCTCGTAGTCTAAAACATATAGGAAACAATTTTTAGGAATTCTAAACGTGGTTTTATTCCAAACAAACCGAAACATTGTCACATATTCCATAGCCTAAACAAAATTTTCGAAAAAATCACAAGTTACTTCTTTTTTTAATTGGAGTCAAACTTAAATCAACAATAATGACGAAAGTTCTGTAGAAAATTTGTTATTTGTTGAATCTTAGAAATTATTTTTGGAAAAAAAAAACATTATAACTGTAAAATATAATGAAAGAATTAAAAAAAAATAAAACAAAACTTAAAAAAAATATAATAGAGTTAGTTATTAAAGATAATGTAATTTGTTCCTGCACACCTAAAAAAAAATAAAGCAATTAAAATCGTTTACAGACAAGTCATCATATTTTGAAAAATTTGCCTTTGTTCACTTTATATAAGTAGATTTTTTACCTATAATGTAAGTTCAAATCAAGTTAAGTTTAAGTACCTAATGTTAGTTTTGGTTAGTTAGCGCTTTTTCCAGATCTAGATGTCCTAAATAAAATAAAATGAATACCAATATAAAATACAAATGCAACGTAATTAAATGGGCACCATATGGGACACATTTTTATTGTGAGAGCATATTAGGTTAAATTTGTGCACCCAAGTTATCAATGTTAATTCATAAGAGTTTATAATTTTTAATTTTTTCAGCATAAAATTAAGAATAAAAAAAGTTGTATTATATGTTGCCGATGTAAGTGGATACACTGTATAAATCTGTATGCTTCGAATACGAACTATATTAAGTTAAGTTCAGTTAAGATAAGATCCGTTAAGTATCCAGAAAAGAATTAGGTAGGAAAGTGGTTAAAATAGTTAACATTCTTTAGTTGTTTTTTGATAATGGCATACTTAATATTAACCGAAATTTTAAGGTTGTTTCTATTCTACACAAATTAATCGTGTTGAGTTGACTTATACGTTGTCTAAATCGATTTTGCAGAGTTTACTAGGGTTTGTACCAAGAAAGACATCAAATATCCTAAGAAATAAGAAACAAGAACAAACTTCTATGTGTGTATGTTTATATGTAAATCTTTAATAAAAAAAAACAAGAAAAAAAAATTGATATTATATTTCGGTTTAGTTTGTAATAAAATCAGTTGAAATTGCGCTCTCTCTTGTTTCTCACGTTCGTATCATCAGAGTTGCTATCCATATTATGTTCAATTATATCGTTAGCAGCTGTTAGCATCACGACGTATCCGTAATTATTGCAAAGCCCCAAAATCCAAAAGGCGATTAAAGTACGCATCCGATCACTTCTTCCTCTCGTGTTTCCCACTTCTGGTAGACTTGTAGCGTTGGATTCGGAATACATATTAGCTATGATATTCCGACTAATTATTTTTATTGTGGAATCTAATAATAAAACAAAAATTAAACTATACTTGGGCCTCTGCTAAATAGTGTAGCTAAAAAGAAGACCAAATGCATGCAAAATATGTACCTAACTCTCAGTGGTTCGTATGTGTATACGGTCGAATATTTCATGACATTATAATTAACTTATTGGTTTCTCAAATGACGCTGCAACAGAACACGGAAATCCCATTTAGTTCGTATAATATTTATGATTTGGCATATACGGTATAAAATTTTAAGTGTCACAAACACATCTAGAGTGGATACAAATAGAATGGAAATTGTTCGGACGCCATGACGCATCGCCTTGTTTACTTTAAACGGCTTGAACATTTATAGAAATATACTATTGGACACGAGTAGGCAAAAATTTTCGACTATTTTCAGATATATCTAAAGAGCTAAACAATAAATCCTGCATATTGCAATTTGAACATTTTAATTAAATTTTCAGCCTACACTGTCCTCAGTTTACTTACTATGGATTCTTCCATTTTGGATGTGGTTTGCATTATAAGTTACTGCTTATAGCAGTTCGATTTCTACAACTTTTTGCATACAATTCAGGAGCACGGTCAAAAATTTATGGGATCATACTGTAACTTTTTAAATTGATAAATTACATTTATTTTCACTCAGAATAGTGTTGGCTTCTCAAAATGTAGTTTTGGTTAGTTTCACATTTATTTTAACGTTAGTTGTACACTTATTTTAAATGAACTAGTTGAAATGCAGCATTTTTAATAATATATTTTATTCCTAATAAATATTCCCCAACAATAAAGGGAATATCAAAATGGGATATGGAACATAGGAAATCCCAACTATTGGTTCTCCTGTACATTTTATATCGAAGACGTAACTTTTTGAAGGGGTTGGTATGATTAACCCATGTGCCGAGTTTGAATAAACTTTAATAAGCCAATCTTGCGTTATTGAATTAAAATGGCAAATTAGAAAATCAATCACCAGTAGAATACATTTTGGCAATGATCACACGAAATTCCTGACAGTAATAAAAGTTTTTTTTTGTTATCGTTATACCTTATTAAACGCGCTTTAATTGAAGTGTAGAAAAAGTAACCATAATTAAGTGATATTATGCAGGAAACAGTCTTAGAGAAGTATCTAAAATGTTTTCGGTTTATTTCCCCCTAATTCAAGTTAGAAATTTGCCAAAATTTTGAGAATAAAAAAATATAATTATAATATAAATATAAAAATTATTAGTTCATTAATCGCTTGTTTAAATTTATAATATACAAATTAATTAAATAAATAAGTAATTTAATATAATGTCAAAAAATATCAAATTTTTGAATAAAATATTTAAAAATTTGTAAATATAAAAAAAAATCACTTTGTATATGATGGATTATGCAATTAAAAAAAAAGCAACAGACTGACTTTTAGACCAAAATTTGTCCAAATATCTTTTTTAGAAATTAGTCGACAATTTTTGTATACCCTTTTAACATTTAGACTTAAAATACAAAAACATTATAAAATCTGTTTCAAACCTTCAGTCTCTTTACTTTTGCTCATTATATTTTTGAGGTTAATTTAAGTTACGCAGTACAAAACTACAAAGAAAAGGAAGAAGAAGGGTTGGTTTAACCAATAACAAAACTTAGTAAAGTCGACATCTGCTTATTAGCGACAATTTATAAGGGTTAATGCTTAATTAAGAAAGAAACATTTTAATTAACTATATTTGTTATGAAAAACAGAGATTCCAATTATTCAGTATTATATTTTCGAAAAATTTTAAATACACAAGTGTACGGAATGCAATTAAAATAGTGACCGTTGCACAGAGTATCTCACAAGTCTCACTGAACTTTGATCTTTGAAATGAAAGAAAGCCACTCTATATTATTTCACTTTTAGAATTCTGGATTTCCCTATCGTTGATTTTGATAGTTTCTTAGATATCTTGATATTTGATATTAGATATTTTAATCAATAAAATAAGAAATTGACGTTTGATAAAAGATATGAAATAACTAGAATAGGGAAAAGCCCAACCAATCGATGTGGGTGTCGCATTTGAGAAAATTAAATCTTGCAATTGTCAAAACACCCTGTAAGCGATAAATAATTCTTAATGTAAATATCGCAAATAACATTCGCGTTTCCCTTGACTTCTAACCAAACATGCTTAAAGTAATGTTACATCTTTCAGAACCGAAATAATGAAGATATCTAAAATTGCTATAATTAAATTCAAAAATGAAATAATATTTGGGGGGGGGGGGGGGGTTACATTTAAAATATTAATGTTAGGTGCTGTCAGGGACTTGCGAGGTATCCTACGTGATGGTACAATACAATACAATTTTTTTATTGAAAATTTTTCAATAAAACAAACTTTTATGAAGTCCTGTAGTAACCCTGCATATAATTGTAGCAATATAAACATTTTTAAATACATTTCTCTCACTCAGTCTATAAACTGACAGCTATAATTTCCATAAATTAGTTTTAAATTGCAGTAGACAACCTTTAATGTGTTCGTGCGTTCAGCCAAAAGTCTGGAATGAACAATTGCATTCTCTCCAACGGTTTTCTTTACATAATTTACATGGGCGGACATTTTTGGGTGTATATTATTAATATAGGATTCAAACTGTAATGATAAAAGGTCGTTTACTAAAATTTTATTATACGAATTGGTTCTTAAAATTTCAACTAGTTGTTTTTTTATAAGTATATCCAAAATAAAGGTCACGCTAACTAAGGAGCCTGAGCAGTGTTTAATGTATCTAATAAACATCTCCTAGTAAATAGTTTATTGAGGCCAGACGAGTAATTTATTGTGTGCTGGACTATACATTACAATATACTGACGTATTGAGATTGAGAATTTCATTCTGTGTCATCTCTCTCAAAACTCAAAATATATCGTCTGCACCTTGAAAATTAATGAAAAACTTGACTTTCTCCATGGAAATATATTCGAAAAATCAAAGCAAAATATTCTGCCTGGCAGACACAATAAAAAATAAAAATTTGCCCGCTTGGTTCGATCTTAAACGTAATTGCCCTCGTTCCCATTTATTCCGTTAAACGGACTACTTAAAAGATGAACTGAAATAGAACAATAAATTTGTTTATGATATTTTTATCCATTTATAACGTAAATTAATTTATCTGTAGTAATAACCTCCGATAAATATATTATTTAGATTGTCGAGATTGCGTTTGCCGGTTTCGATTTGTAAATATTGCTAAGAGAAGTAAAAGCGTAACTCGGTCAATATCAACAACGAGTAAATTTTGACCTGAAATTTGTTTATTGCATTTTATTTTTACATTAATCCTAGATGTATCACGTATTTAATTAACGAAGCAACTTAACCAGTAGGTTACTTGCCCGTTGCATTATTATAAAATCGATATAATTTTATATAATAATATAATTTCTTTTTTAGAGCAAAGAAAATAATCGCTGGGTGGGGTACATTAGCACTTGCTCATGCCTTAATATAAAATATTACTATGCTATACAAAAAAAATAGACGAGGGATCAAAAAAAAAGGTTTTTGTTGTCCATATTTTACCTTGTATACAACCTTCGCATCTAAATTCTTGTGGTTGAATTAGCAAACGCGTATTAAAAAAATGGTCACGCTTAACCAGTAAAAATAGAAACACAAACTTACCTACTTCCGAAATTCCGTGCTACTGCAATAAAACTGTTCAATATAACTCTGAGCGAAAACAATAAATAATGTTTTAACAACGGACCAATTTAGACTAAACACTAGTTTTTCCCTCGAAGACTTATCGAAACCATTGTTGATTAAATCGTCGTATCTAACATAATGACACTTAAAAAAACCTCGAATAAATTTACGATAATTTTTCGCATACCTTTATTGCTCAAATTGCCAGACGATATCGGCAACAAAGTCACTGATTAAATGACGGCGTGATTCTCAAATCAACGTTGATTAAAGCGTTCGTATATTATTAAAATAATTCTTTTAAAATGCGAAATATTAATTACATGTAAAAACTAATATTGACATCGAACTAAATACGTTTTCACAAATATTTTAATTTCCTTTGTAAATGCATCAGAAACATGTTTTCACACGTTGCGGCATAAAATGTGCCACATAATACAGGGTGTTCCAAAATTAATGCACTAAATTTTGATGTTTCCTATATAAACAAATTATACCTACAAAAACACTTTTTCCACACTACTTTGAAGCAGCAAAAGCAAAAAATGTCACGCTTTTTTCTCAAAGCAAAAATATTTTTAAGGACCCCCGTTTATAATAATAGTAATATCTTTATTATCCCACATATTTAGAATACAACCAGTGTGTACTGGATTTCGTCAAGTCGGAAAGGTAGAAAATTACATTAAAAACACATGACAAAGCACAAGAATGCAGTGACAAACATTAAAAGGTGAAATATTTGTTTAAAGTCTATAAACTAAAAACAGTTTTCCAGGAGGAAATATTTTAGTTTGGATTTAACAATGTTGATGCTACTATTCTTTAGCTTTGAAAAAGTTTATTTAAAAATTTATATTTAAACATATTTTTCCGAAAATTATAATCTTTGTTTTATAGAGAAAAAGTCTTTTTTCTTTCTATTCAGAAAAATTTCGTGATTTATAAAGTCAAACGCTCTGCTAAGATCACACTTGGAACAAATTTGATTTCTTTTTTCCTAACGATAAGTAAAAATATTGAAAACTACTTTGGTGCATGTCGAAATGACCAGAAGTATGATAAAAATGTTAAACAATAAAAACCTAAAGTTTCAAATTATTTTCTGAAATTTTAAGTAACAAAAAAGCATTAAAAAATGCCTCTTGCTGTTTTCACTATCTGTTGGAAATATCAAAAAAAACTTAGACATAAAAGTTGTTTAGATTCATTTATACTTTTGAAATATTGTGTTATGGGTTTTTGTATTTTTGAGAACAACTTTCTTATTTTAAATAGTTTAAATAGTTGAATTTTTGAATTCTTGAGAAACTTTTATAATTTTATAATATATTATATATCTTTTACCCTAAATCTTGCAGTTTTTGACATCTTTCGATTTCTTCGGCGGAAAGCCTTGCTTAAATATTTGGAGTTGATTTCCTCGTACTTTAGAGGTCTTTGTTGATATTTTAATGATAGATAAATAGAGGATGATCAAAAAGTATCATTAAAAATCTAAATGAAAAATTCGTTAAAAGTTTAAATTTTTATAATGCTATTTTATTTGGCATTAAAAAAAGTGTTTTTTCAATAAAACCTTTTTTCGTTGTGAAAATGTGTGGCAAAAAAGAGCAATATCGCAGTATAAGAACGTCACCGTTTTGGCTTGCTGTGGTTTTAAAAATCAATGTTTGACCCTTTTATACTTCTCAAATTTTTTTTAATGTTTGTTTTTGACCACCCTGTATTTCTTTGTTTGTAACATCAACACAGACCACTAAAAAAAGTCTTCTATAATTAAATCAACTCCAAGCAAAGCCTTTTATTCGGAGAAATCATTGGATATATTGAGATTTGTAAACGTCACTTTTGATATGAAATTCTAAATACGAAACGAAAAACTTAATTATATTATGTATGTAATATGTTTAAAATGTTCCGAGGAATTAAAAAATGCCTTAACATGCCGGGTGTTCTATTTAAAATAAAAAAGTTCTACTTGTCCACGAATATACAAACACCCTGTATATATAGCAATATAATATTTGAAAAGTATAACTTCTATTTTAAGGTTTTTTGTTTTTTTTTGTCACATTCTAAAATAGGGTATCATCCCATAATAAATGTCAATGAAATAACCTAGACTGCTTCAAAAAACTATAAAAAAAAATTTCAACACCCTGTATCTCGGAAAGGAACCGTTTCAGACATATGTTTATTTATGTTGAATGTAGAATATGCCATAAAAATACTTGTCCTATCGAAAACGTACTCCAAGGCATCCCAGACTGCCGAAGAACAACTGTTGACTGACCTTTAACCCCATTAAATACGAATTTTAGGAACTTTTAAATACCAACAACACCAAAAGCGTATTAGTCAAGTACATGGTCAAATTGTTATCCTCAAACCTACAGTGATAGGATGGCACCTCAATACATCCAGAAAAATATACATTATATTAATAGTTCAGACATAATTACGTAATCAAGATTCTTATTTTCCTATAATTATTGAATTCCAAAGATGCAAAAATTGCAAATTATATCTTAGCAAGTACGTCGATATTCTAGCTATAGTACTATGCATTCCTGTCACCATTGCATTACTTGGTGCCCAATGTAGACAATATTCTGCAAAAGTTATTCAGGCTGCAGCCTAGTTGGGTTTCTACATTAATGATTTCCACTAGAAACACTTTTTCGCCACAGACGCCACGTAAATTAAAACTAACCACACTTCTAATTAAGATTTTTATGATATAAATGTATTTATGTATATGTATTAGCCTAATCAAGAGTTAGCGAAACTACAGCTGCTTGTATTTTTTCATATTTATAAAATATACTAGTATAAATATAACCTTTCTACGTTGTTTTGGTGTCACTCACACTTTAGTTGGCAATAATTGTACAATTTTCTTCTATTTCCTTACCATTTTTGAACATTATTGAATTGTCAATTCCATTTTCAAAAATTTTTTGTCATTTTTTGTTCATAAAATTTTGATTTGGTTGTGATGCTGTGAGACTTATTAAATGTAACATTAAAATAAATGGATTTGTTTTCCTAAAAGGAAATGGTTATTAAATTTTTACGTAAACATTTTTATTTCATTTAAAGTTAAAAACTTAATTTTAAATGATGCATCCGTGAGCTCCAAACAGTTCTCTCTAAAAAAGTTTTACAATGAAAATTAACCGCTAGCAATATTTTTTCAAACAATTTTCATCTTTCTGTGATGCTGTGAGACGCATTAGATATAATGTAATATAAAGGGAGTTGGTATATTCAATTTTTACGTATATATTTTTGATTGCATTTAAATTTAACAACTTAATTTTAAATTATGCTTCGGCAAGCTCCTAAAGCTCCAAATATTTCGCTCTAAAAAAGTTTTATCGTGATTTTAAACTTCAATAGATTGATGTATTTATGTATATGCATTAGAATAATAACTGCTTAGCAAAACGATAGGCGCTTTAAAATCCTCACATTTATAAAACATATATTTATGCCATTGATTCAAAACTAAATGTGTTGAGAATTACTATAACTCTAAAGAGTTTACATGTTAATGCTATGTGATATGTAAATTTAATATTCTTCCAAGTAACTCCTAAAATCCACGGCAAAAATAATTAAAAAAATAAAATAAAAAGTTTTTTTATTCAGAAAGTCTATTTTATTTGAAGTCACTAAGCACAACTTTTGAACCTTGTGTTGGTGTCACTCAAATTGACACTTTAGATTGCACATAATGTTCTTTTGTTTATATTTTCGTATTAATTTTCAAGACTATTGTATTATCATTTCGTTTTCAAAAATGAATCTATTAGTAATTTTTTTTTCATAAAATTTTCTGTGATGGTGTGAGACGCGATAAATGTGATATTATAATTGATAAATTTGTGTGAAACGAAGGTGCTTTTAATTCCTCATATTTATAAAACATATGTTTATGTCATTAAGTGAAAACTAAATGTGTTGAGAATTACTATAACTGTAATGGGTTTACATTTTTAAGCTATGTGAAATGTAAGTTCCAATTAACTCCAAAAATCCATCGCAAAGAAAAAAAAAGCTATTTTATTCAGAAGGTCTATTTTATTTGAAGTCACTAACTACAACTTTTAAAATTTGTGTTGGTGTCACGCAAATTGACACTTTAGATTGCATATAATGTTCTTTTTTTATATTTTCGTATTATTTTTCAATACAATTGTATTATCATTTCGTTTTCAAAAATGAATCTATTAGTAATTTTTTTTTTCATAAAATTTTCATCTGTGATGGTGTGAGACGCGATAAATGTAATATTATAATTAATAAAATTGTGTTCAACGAAGATGCTTTTAATTCCTCATATTTATAAAACATATATTTATGTCATTAGGTCAAAACTAAATGTGTTAACAATTACTGTAACTGTAAAGGGTTTATATTTTACTACAATTTGAAATGTAAAGTTAATACAATTCCAAGTAACCCCAAAAATCCATCGCAAAAACAATTTTCAAAAAATGCTTTTTTATTCAGAAGGTGCATTTTATTTCAAGTCACTAACTACAACTTTTGAAACTTGTGTTAGTGTCACTCATATTGACACTTTAAATTGCAAAAATGTTCAATTTTTTTATATTTTTGTATTATTTTTCAGTACTATTGTATTTCGTTTTCAAAAATGAATCTTCTAGTAATTCTTTTTTCATAAAATTTTCATCTGTGATGGTGTCAGACGCGATAAGTGTGATATTATAATTAATAAATTTGTGTTAAACGAAGGTGCTTTTAATTCGTCATATTTATAAAACATATGTTTATGTCATTAAGTGAAAACTAAATGTGTTGAGAATTACTATAACTGTAATGGGTTTACATGTTAATGCTTTGTGAAATGTAAAGTTAATATTCTTCCAAATAACTCTAAAAATCCGTCGCAAAGAAAAAAAAAGATTTTTATTCAGAAGGTCTATTTTATTTCAAGTTACTAACCACTCTTGCACCTTGTGTTGGTGTCACTCAAATTGACACTTTAGATTGCAAATAATGTTCTTTTGTTTATATTTTCGTATTATTTTTAATTGTATTATCATTTCGTTTTCAAAAATGAATCTATTAGTTTTTTTTTTTTCA